TTCTTGCTAATAGTTATCTTATAGGGAAGTGTGATGAGCTATTAAATTTTATTTCTAGGCCCTCCCCTGTGGCACAGCGGTTGAGCGCTGGGTTGTGAAGCTGCCCGCGGCCTCTGCCGCGCCGGTTCAATCCCTGGCTGCTCCCCGGCCACCAGAGGAGGGTCCCACATGGCGCGCAGACCTCCCCTGCCGCCCGCTGCTCCCCTCAGCAGTGTACTTCGGTCCTTCTGCCTGCTCTGCTCCCCGCTCTGTCTCTGGTGAATTCCCTCACCCTCCCGCGCTTCTGACTGTACCCAGTGCTTGTATAAATAAATAAGTCTTTTTTAAAAAAAAAGAAATGCCCATTTAAAAAAAAATTTATTTCTAGTGTGAAATAAAATCCAACTTTATTTCTCTTTCCTGTAGATACCCAATTGTCCACCAATTGTCCAAACCATTTTTTGGGAAAATGAGCTCATTTCCAACAAACTGCTGGATCCTTTTGCCGTGTCTGGTGTCCATCTGCGCATCGAGCAGTGTCTGGGGTCTCTTTCCTGTCATACTGAGTCTGATTTTTGTCCTGAGCCAGCACCACAGTCTCTCGATAAAAACGACAGCATTGCTCTCTGGGCAAGTGAATCTTCCCATGTCACTCTACTTCAAGAGCTTTCTGACTAGTTTTGATCTTTTAACATAATGGCATTCAGGACATAGTGCCCCAGAGTATGGCACCTTGTCATACAGTCTTTTAAGCTGATGAAATTTGAGAAAATACCAGAAGCAGGAAGGATACCCCTCACCCTCCCACCCCAACCCCCAGCCAACCCTTATTTCTTAACACAGTCCAGAAAACCCCCATGTAAGAGGCTCTTTCTGTGCCAACAGGAAATTTGGAGCTGAGAAGTGTGTATGAACAAACCTAGTGAACAGCCCTTGTCGTCCTAGTTACTTCACCCTTTGCTGCCCCAACCCAGATCCCTTTGTCTTATCAGTTCTTCACATAGGCACACGAACACGCATACAAACACGCCTTTTTCTTTTCTTTTCAATTTTTATTTGATTTGCCTTTAATTAAAACATAACCTTGGGATGGGCCTCCCCGGTGGCGCAGCGGTTGAGCGCTGGGTTGCGAAGCTGCCCGCAGCCTCTGCGGCGCCGGTTCGATCCCCGGCTGCTCCCCGGCCACCGGAGGAGGGTCCCACATGGCGCGCAGACCTCTCCTGCTGCCCGCTGCTCCCCTCAGCGGTGTACTTCGGTCCTTCTGCCTGTTCTCCTCCCCGCTCTGGCTCTGGTGAATTCTCTCACCCTCCCGCGCTTCTGACTGTACCCAGTGCTTGTATAAATAAATAATCTTAAAAAAAAAAATTAAAAAAAAAACATAACCTTGGGGAGGGTTCATCCGTTTACAGAATCTTCCAGTCCTGATCATGGTGTACCTTCCACTTATTGTGATCTTCCGTAATATACCACAGAGCTCTGTAATACTCTCTGTAAAGTTGTTTCACGTCTTTGAATCTATCCTTAGATGCATTGTATAGTGAATACTGTTTATCTTTGTGTCTTATTTCTATTGTCTTACCTAGCTGGCTTACATTTCTGGTACTGTTGGATAACACTGATAGTGTAGAGGGCATCCTGGCTTTATTCCTGGTCTCAAAAGATTTATTTTATACAAGAACCGGGATACAGGCCAGAGGATTCAGCAGAGACAGAGCAGGGAACAGAACAGGCAGACTGACCGAAATACACTGCTGAGGGGAGCAACGGGCGAGACAGGAGAGGTCTGCTGTGCCATGTGGGTCACCTCCCTGGCCTGGGATCGAACTCATGCTACAGTAGCTGCAGATTGCTTCACAGTGCTGATGCTTAACCCCTTGCACCACCAGGGAGGCGCTCAAAAGGAATGTTTTCTAACTTACCATTAAGTATGATGTTCACAGTGAGTGGTTTTTTTCCCTTTTTTGTAAATGCCTCTTGTTTTTTTAAAGATGTATTTATTTATGCATACAAGAACTGGGGTCTGTACAGGCCAGAGGTGGTGGTGGGGGCGGGGGGGTGAGAGGATTCACCAGAGACAAAGTGGGGAACAGAACAGACAGCTTGACTGAAGTACACTGCTGAGGGGAGCAGCAGGTGAGGCAGGAGAGGTCTGCTGTGCCATGTGGATTGCTCCCTGGCGGGCTAGGGATTGAACTCGTGCTGCAGTGGCTGCGGATAGCTTCATAGGTTGCCTCTTAACCCCTTGCACCACCAGGGAAGCCCCTGTAAATGCCTCTTAAAGGATAAGAAAGTTTTCTTAATTCTTTTTTTTTTTAAGATTTATTTATTTATCCAAGCACTGAGTACAGTCAGAAGCGCGGGAGGGTGAGAGGATTCACCAGAGCCAGAGTGGGGAACAGAACAGGAAGACTGACAAAGTACACTACTGAGGGGAGCAACGGGCATGGCAGGAGAGGTCTGTGCACCATGTGGGATCCTCACCGGCGGCTGGGGATCGAACTGGCGCTGCAGAGGCTGCAGGCAGCTTCGCAGCCCAGTGCTCAACCGCTGCACCACCAGGGGAGGCCCAGTTTTCTTAATTCTTAATCCACATGGAATATCCCCAAAATTGTGAATAAGTATTAACTTTGTCAAATGCTTTTTCTGCATCTTTGAGATAAATAGATTAATTTTTTTTTTAAGGTTTTTTTTTTTACACAAAACTGGGGTACTACCTTGTGGCGCAAGGAGTTAAGACGCAACCTATGAAGCTATCCACAGCCACTGCATCACAAGTTCGATCGCCGGCCAGCCAGGGAGCAACTCATATGGCACAGCAGACCTCTTCTGCCTCACCCGCTGCTCCCCTCAGCAGTGTATTTCAGCCAGTCTGCCTGTTCTGTTCCCTGCTCTGTCTCTGGTGAATCCTCTCACACACACCCCACCTCTGGCCTGTACCCCAGCTCTTGTATGCATAAATAAATAAATTTTTAAAAAGTGCTGGGGTACAGGCCAGAGGTGAGGGAGGGCGAGAGGATTCACCAGAAACACAGTGGAGAGCAGAACAGGCAGACGACCGAAATACACTGCTGAGGGGAGCAGTGGGCGAGGCAGGAGAGGTCTGCGCGCCATGTGGGAATCTCCCTGGCCGGCTGGGAATGAAACCCGCTCTGTAGAGGCTGTGGACAGCTTCACAGCACTGTGCTCAACCGCCTGCGCCACCGGGGAGGCCCTCCTTGTCTTATTTTCTAATATACAATCTATAAGATTATTTTCCTTTAAGTTCTGTTACTTAGTTATTTGATTATGGTTTATTTCAAATTTTTCTAATTTCCATTATTCTTAGATTCATAAGCATATCGAAATATGCTTGTTAATTTCTGAAATACAAAGATTTCTCTATAATTACATATTTATGATTTCTAATTTAATTGTATTTTGGTCAGAGAATATACTGTGATTTCAGTCTTTGGTAATTTGTTGACACCTATATGGTCGACTTCCAAATGTTTGTGTACTTTAAATGAGTGTGGATTCTGTGGCTCAGAGTTTGTCTATGTCTGTGTGTGTGAGGAATGCTTTTATAGTACTCTGAAGGAAAATTCTAGCAGAGTTAATAGTGTGGTCTAATTTTTTTTCAAATTTCATTGATTTTCAAATAACTTACATAATTATATTATTTTGGAAGCACATGAGTGCGCATGCTTCGTTTGTCTTCCACCCAAGCTCTGGCACCACAACCCTGTCACCTGCGCTGCTCTGACCTCTCCTTCCTCTCTTTCCCCCACCCCCTCTGGTAACCAGTTTATTTTCCACAGAATCTAAGAGGTATTTTTCTTGTATTTTGTTTTCTTTGATTATATTCCATAAATAAGTGAAAGCATCCAGTAACTGTCTTTCACTTTTTACTCATTTCATTTCGCATAATTACCTCAAAATCCATCTATTTTATCCCAAAAGGGACTGTTTAATCTTTTTAAATAAGTGAATAGTACTTCATTGAGTAATATTCTGCAATTTCGTTGACTCTGTCCATGGGCATTAGGTTAGTTCCATGACTTAGCTATTGTGAGCAATGCTGCTGCGCATAACAGGAGGAGTGCATAAATATTTTCTTACTAGTGTTTTCATATTCTTTGGGTAAACTGCTGGGTCATACGGTGTTTCCATTTTTAGTTTTTTGAGGAATCTCCATACCATTATCCATAGAGGCTGCTCCAAATTACATTCCCACCAACAGGATGGGTGCGCCTTTTTCTGCATGTCCTTTTTGTTTTGTTTTTTAAGATTTATTATTTTTGTTTATTTGTGCATGCAAGAATTGGGGTGTAGGCCAGAGGTGTGGGGGGGTGAGAGGATTCACCAGAGACAGAGTGGGGAGCAGAACAGGCGGATTGACTGAAATACACTGCTGAGGGGAGCAGCGGGTGAGACAAGAGAGGGTCGATTGCTCAATATGTGGGTCAGCTCCCAGGCCGGGGATTGAACTCAGGCTGTCACAGTGGTAGTGCTAAGACTTAACCCCTAAACCACCAAGGAGGCCCTCATTGAGCCCTTCTATATGACCTGTATTTTGCTTGGGGCTGGAGATAACCAAGAAGTTGGGGGACTTTGCCCTTAAGGAGCTTATGTCCTATCCTTTAATGTATTTAATGAGGGCTCTGGCAAACCAATTTATCAATCAGATTAATACAGGATTACAAAATTCTGATAAGCTCTGTGGGAGATGGAGATATATGGGGTGGGTCTCTCTGAGGTTGTGATACTGAAACCTATCTGAGTATATAAGTAAATTATCTACCACTTCCAACTAGACCACTTCCAACTACCACTTCCACTAGAGTGGTCAATAGTGAGTACCTGTTAGTATTATTAGCTATTAGTATTAGCTATTAGTATTTTATGTATAGTTAATATTAAAGAAATAAATCTTTAACTTCTACACTTCCCCCATTCTTCATAAAGCACCTCTTCATAAGCACAACTTGCAGATGTATTTCCTTCTCTCCATAACACACTACTTTGTCTTGATTCGTTGACAGGTTGTGACATTGTTCTCTCACCCCAGCTGTGTGGATAGTGCCACACGCTCGCCACACGACGACGGCTCTTGTACGCATATTCCAGTGTTTCTTTTGTCAGAGAATCCAGCAGAGCCTCAGTTCTTTCAGTGGCAGCCCTGAGCTGAGCGAGGTGTGCCCAGCAGAGATGGTGAAGATGACAAAATCCAAAACTTTCCAAGCTTATCTGCCTAACTGCCACCGAACATATAGCTGTGTCCACTGCAGAGCCCACCTGGCCAATCACGATGAGCTGATCTCCAAGGCAAGTGGTTGTGTCCAGAAATAGAGGGAACGCCCTACCCACAGTGATACGGTGGCTAGCTAGTAGATGAATATTTAACCATCGCATCACTTCCTGAGTGTGCTGTGTCCTACAAGTCTAGAGCCTCCTGGGCAGCATGGATGAAAGTCTAAAGTGCGATCAAATGTGTCTGCACTTGGATTGTGTAAGCAGTGGCCTGTGGTGGCCTGGCAGCCAGGACCCCTGAAGATCACGAGGAGTGAGATGACTCAGTTATTTGTCATTAAACATACTGTTAACCAAGAGAACACTAACAGAACTAGTGAAGTCTGGATAATCTGTGGGAATAGTTTAATAATGAGGAAGCTAAGACATTTCTAAAATTCAGAATGGTTAAGAAGAGGCTACTGGGGTGGGGGGGGGACTGGGATCTTCAGGAAAATGCCCAGGAGGGAAGTTCTGGACATTGTGCAGGACAGGAGCAGCCTCAGAGATGTGAAAAGAATACCCAGTTCTTTCTTATTAAGTTAAATTCTTATTAGCATATTAATGTTTACAATCACCCAGTTGTGAATATTTAAAGTAAAGTAAACAGTGGATGAGCCAGTGTTCCCTCAAGGAAATAGCGAGAGTGCCTGCCCCCACTCCCACCCCCACCCCCACCCCCTGCCCTCACAGGCACAGCAGCCACTCATGCCCACAGCTGCCTTCCTGGGCTCCAAGAGCCTCGTTCTCCTTCAAAAGCAAAGTCCATCAGGAGGTTGTGCCTTTCAGGAATCTCTGCCTAGACTTCTTGTTTGACTCAGTTAGAAACACGTTTATCTAGTTGTTGTTTTTTGGTGTTTTTTTTACTAAATAGTAATGATTGTTTCATTTCTGTTCATCTAAAATAAAACGGTTAAACAAGGCAGAGTTTCTGTTCTCTCATTGCTTCTGTGGCTCCTTTGTCCCTTCAGTGTCTCAGGTCGGAGGCGGAAGCCCTCAGGCCTCTGGGGTTTCTGGTTGCTTTCCCAGGCAGCCTCAGCATAAACACCACTTAGAGTTATGGAAGGCAGAGCTGCTTGGGCCTCCAGACTGGGCTGTGTGACTTGGTGACTTGTCTGAGCCCTGGACCACCCGAGCAGCAGCAGTGTCAGGAGTGAATCTGGGCTTGCGGAGTCCCTGGGGCTCCAGGAGCATGCTGCGCCTGGCCCACGGCCAGTGGTCACTACTTCCCCTGAGCTGCTGTATGCTCTGCAGGGCAGCCCCAACTCACGGCAAGGCCCCCGACCCAAAACACTGCTCCGCTTTCACTCCAGAACGCAGACCCCACCATCATTTTCTGTCTTACCACAGCAAATCTTTTAAAACTTTTTTTTTTCTTTGCAGTCCTTTCAGGGAAGTCAGGGACGAGCCTACCTCTTCAATTCTGTGTGAGTATTGCCTGCACAGTGTATAGACGTGCTGTGTCCACTGTCAGGTTACGTTTATTGCTTCTGTGCCTCCATTTGCATGATTCAGGGCCAGGATATGTAAATAGAGTTCACCAGTGGTCTGGAACGAGGCAGTGTCTTTCACGTGATCTTAAAGGATCCTGCTCTAGCCAGAAAGTTACCAAAGGAATGTTCTTAGCCAAAGAATGAGCTCCCGCAGACATGGGGTGATTTGTTTTCCCTTTGTGGTAGACTGGGATTTCTGCTATGGAACAGTAGGACTGTGGCCGCTTCCCCACAGCCTGTCCCATCTTGGGATTCTTGTGGGGAAATAAAAAGTTGTTCCTTCGCATAAAAAGTAGTTAGTGGGCAGGGATGGGGGAAAATGGGAGCTTCAGAAGAAACATTTCTGGTAACCAGTTGGCTGGAGAAATAATAAGCACCCAAGTTGGAAGCCAGTGTGGGAGCTGGGGGGACCCTCCAGGCCACTGCAGTCCAGGGCCCTCAGGAGGGGAGAGGAGGATGTGTGTCCAGTGTCCTGCCTCCTTCCCTGCAGTGTAAACGTGGGCTGTGGCCCTGCAGAGGAGCGTGTCCTTCTCACGGGCTTACACGCTGTTGCAGACATCTACTGTGAAAACTGCAAAACCACACTTGGGTGGAAATATGTAAGTAGCCATCTTATTCTGACATTTTAGAGAACACAGATTTACTGTAATAAATAAATGTGCTATAAATGGACATGAGACCAATTTACAAAGGAGTGAGACTTCCCCCTGGAAGTGTGATAGCTGCTATGTGCAAAGAATACATGTCTTAATATAGAATTTCTTTTGAACCAATTCAAAGTGGCATAATCTCATGGGCACATTTGTACTCCCAGGGTAAGGGTGAACAGCTGTGCTTGAGGTGGCAGGTGGGGACACACAGGGCCCTACCCCATGAATCCTTTGGTCTTTGGACCCCTCTTGGGAGGGTGGCTGTTCTCCATCCGGGGGACATTTATTGGCAGGCAGGGCCCAGGGTACCTGGTGGCATTGAACAGCAATCACAGCTGGCCCCTCTGTACCACAGACACCCAGCACCTGTTTGGGGTCTAAAGACAAAACCCCTTCTTTCTCTTGGGACCTTGAGCTGACTGTTGCCACCCCTCACCCCTCCATTTCTAGCCTTTACCTCAGGCTCCTCTCCTCCTGCCCCAAGCTTCCTGCAGACACCCCACCAAGGCCGGGCCTTCCCAGCTTGTGGAGAAGCCTCCTCAGTGTTCCCTGTTTCTGTCTTCCCCTGCCTGACCTCAGATCCCAGCTTGCTTCCACTGGTCTGTTGACAACTCTGAACCTGCACCTCTGCCCTCGCTTCTGTCCTGGTGAAAATCCTATGCACCCCATACCCCTGGCCACTTGGTGCACGTTCCACCCTAGGTGCTAGCATTTTGAGAGGTCCATCTTGGAGTGGGCCTGCCTTCTTGGGAGTTGTCTTCTATAGCCATGCTGCTTTTCTTCATCAGGGCCACTTGCTCTCCCTCTTTCTGGAATTCCTGTTCATTTCTGGTCTCTCATGTGCATCAGAGTGGGGGATGCCACCCCTGCATGGAGATGGGCTCAGCAAGGTCTGCCCACTCCCCCAGCCCTTCTACCAGCTCAGGCCTGTCCCCTCCCTTCCCCAACACTCTGCTTCCAGCAAAGGGCTTTTTCTTTCTCCACCATCTTCAAACTGTCCCTAGAGCTCTTGGTGTAGCTGACGCCACTCTCCTTTAACCTGGAGTCCCTGGAAGAAATATCTTCTTCCTCTTCCTACCTCCCGAATTTCCCTGCACAAGGTGCTTAGTAACACACTTGAATTCCCTGCAAGTTTAACCATAGCTGGACAAGGAGCATAAAGCCTACCCTCACAAGCTCGTCATTTGAGACCGTCCCTGTCAGGCCTCTGGCATTGAGATCCAAGGCTCAGGGAACATCTGGGCAGATGTAGCACTATAGACTTATTTTCCTAATCACGAGCGTAATGACATTGAACAGCGAAAACAGATTCTGTCCTGAAATTCTTTTTCTCTACTTTTTTTCTTTTCAAGGAACATGCCTTTGAGAGCAGTCAGAAATATAAGGAAGGAAAATTTATTATTGAGCTTGCCCACATGATCAAAGACAATGGTTGGGAGTAAAGTGAAACTTTCTGTTCTCTTTTGAATACTTTTTTTGTGAGAGAGACTGCAAATGTAATGGAAACCTGGGAGCATCCTGGATGACAATGTCCCTTTGAACTCCGGCCTGGCAGGCAGGCCCCTCCCGGCCCTGTCCTGGGTAAGGTGTCCCTCCAGCACGTGCTCCTCGTGTACATGCTCGTTCCTTCACAATGCCAATGACCTTTTTCTAGTCTAAAGTTCTAGACATAGAATTAACCCACTGATGGTCTGTCTCTCTGGTTAATACCTTCTTTCAATCTGTGTCTTTAGATAGAGCTTGACTGCTCTTTCATGTTCAAGAGCAAACTGAGTTTCTCCAGGCCATAGGGATGGGGTGTCTTTAGAGAGCAGGTCTCACCCCTTGTTTAAAGACATTGTAGCCCACTTAATGATTTCCCAAACTACAAGTCGGTTATTCCTCCTGCAGATGAACTGTGGAGGCCTAGTGCTCAGTTACCATCTTCAGCAGCAGTGCAGGGTGGTTTTTCTTAGGTATTGTTCAAAAACAGAGGACACCACTGATAACATTTTAGGAGTTGCAGAGAAATGTGTCTAACGGAACATCACGTTTATTCGAGCCAAGAGCTTCCTTTTTCAGAAAGCAAGAAATCTAGTTGTTGGGAAAGCCTTGTTCCATGGGCTTCCGCTCCCCAGGCAGGAAGTGGGGCTTCCGCATCGCTGGTTAAGTGGCTGATCTGTGGAGTTGAAGTGCAGTGCTCTGGGCCGAGTAAAATCAGGTTTCCTTTTTTACTATGATGTGCTTGAAGGAAAATAATGTTTTTTTGCATACAAAAGAGGCCAGAATGAACAGGAAAAACTTCTGAACTTCAGATTTGCCAGATTGTTTTCAGATGTTCTCAGAAAAGGTTAAAGCTACAAGATGGGGTGAAGCTTCGTAAAGATATTTGGTCTGTTCGTCAGGTCACCCCCACCCCACTGTGGGCTGACATAGGAGGGACCCGAGAGATCCAATGCTGTGTCCCCGCACCTATTTTAAGCTCCAGCCCCCCCCCCCGTGCCTCTCCGTGCGAGTGGGCTCTGTGCAAGCATTATAGCCAATTCACAGAGAATGAAGACCCGAAAGCATTCCGAAGTCAGTCTTGGTTTTCAATGTTTTGACCCAAAGCTGGCCGGTGGGCCTGATCTGCTGTTCCTAGCGTCTGGGCAGGTGGTTTGTGGTGTGGGATTCATGGGACCCTGGCACCGAGAGGCAAGAAAAGGGGCCCGGGAGACAGGGTGAGGCAAGCCAAGCATCAGATGTTTCCCAGCCTGACAGGCTGGCTCTGAAGCTGCCCTCAGACTAGTTAGTCCAGTGACTGGGAGAGCTGGCTCCAGACACTGCATGTCTGTGATGGGGGGAGGAGTCCCTCATGAGTCCGTGTCCTGCTGTGCAGGCACTAGGTGCCCCTGACTGGGTCTTGTTCAGCGCTCACCTCAAGCTTCCCAATGGCACAATCTCTTTGCCTAAGACTCAAAGCTTTGGAACGTGGGGAAGACCGCTGCCAAGTGGGTGAGGAGACATCAGTGTGACTTGCACATGGAGCCCCTGGCACACATCTTCAGGTTTAAAGGGAAGGATATGGTGTAAGCCTCTGCCCTTGCACACACCCCAACAGGTTGCTGCTCCCCTGAGCCAGTGTCCCCAGATGTAGACTGTCCCCGTGCACTCCCTGTTTGTAAGGTAACGTGCAGCTGTGAACCTCCGGTGCCCTGGCTGCAAGTTGGAAATCTGAAGACACCTCTCTTGAGTCCTGCTGCTTCAGTCCTTAGGGAAAACCGAAGAACCGAAAGCAGCCTGCCCTGAGTACTCGCCCGAGCACTAGTAATTGAAAACATGGCCTGTGAACGTGCACCTTCTGTCGGTTCCTCTGCAAGTTGCATCTGGAGGCACCCAGACAACCAGAGGGTCAGGCCATGCCTAGGCACCTTGCGGGGCACCGGGGACAGCAGGCTTGAGCATTGCACGTAAGCTGAAAAATCGTCTAGAATTCTTTTGATCACTCTTTTGTATATACTGAAACTTCTATTTAAAGCTTTTATATGTTCTGGGTAAGTTTACTGCTCCTTTAATTTGAGCACTTTGGTTTTTGTGTTGTCTCTCGTGATGGTATTGAAATATTTTTACCAGGTGGTCTACCAACAGATTTTTATCACTTTTTTGTTGGCTTTCTGTAAAACCCAAGCTCTTTTTGAAACCAAATAAACTGAACATGAGCTGGCATCAGGGAATTATATTCACAAGACACAACCAGCTGTACTGGTGAAGTGTTGGAATGCTCCACCCTCATCAATTCCTGAATAAATAGCATCCCATGTCTTATTTAAAATGTCTTTTCCTTGAGAAGGGTGGGAGGTGATGCCAGGATTATAAATGCATGTAACTGAAAAGTACGTAGTAGCGTCTGAGGCGGGACATTTGCTTTAGCGGTATGGCCAAGTATTGCGATTTTAGTATTTTTATACCTTAAAGCTTATCCTTGATGCCATCTGTCAGCTATAGGATCAGAAATGGGAATTTTTCAAAAGTCCTTTAATTTAGCTATGATCTCACCACACTCTTCAAATCCAGGTGGTTTTAGTATCAAGAAAACTATAAGCTCCTAACAGCGTACAGAAACATAAATCTCCATTTGTCAAACGTTTTGGGTATGCCTGGCCTTCCACTGCAGGTGGCAGCACAGCTGGGTGACCCAGCCTCCCTGGGGGGCTGGTGGGCGTGGCTGCTGGATGAAGCTGGATAGAAAGATTGCAGCCCAGGGCCAGTTTGAAGGTTCACCTGGCTGGGGACAGCCAAGCTCTCACAAGTCTCCCTTGGCTCCCCTCTATCCAGTCCTCGAGCCTCTGTGTGTGCTTTAAAAATATAATTTCCAAAGTAAACATCTTAGTAGCACTGCCTGCCCAAGTGCTCCGCTCTGAAATGATACTAAGGGACGAGGCCCTGACCTCCCATCGCTCCTGCCAGAGCCCCAAGCACCTGAGTGGCCTGGGCCTGCCTGCACCCAGCTGTCACTGCACTGACCAGCCCTGCGTAAACCAGGCTCTTGCAGACAGTGCCTTTCACTGGTGAGTTGTCAGATGTCTGCAGCTGAAAAGGGCAGCAGTGAGTAAGCAGGTCTTAAAGAAACGGGGGTCGAGGATCTGGCCAAAGGCAAGGAGAGCCCTTGCAGAGCTGGTCACAGGCAGAGGGACTACATAGGCCAGGCGCAGGCCCTGTTCGAAGTACAGGGCAGGGCCAGTGACTGGCTGAAGCTAGAGACACCTGCAGTCAAGCACTAGAACACACCTACTGTGGAAGTGCCTTGACCAGAGGCAGGCGAGAGGCTTGGGGTTTCAGCATCAAAGATGGAAAAGGGGTCTCCCTGGTGGCGCAGGGGGTTGAGCACAGCACTACGAAGCAATCCACAGCCTCTGCAGCACGAGTTCGATCCCTAGCCATCCAGGGAGCAACCCACATGGCGCAGCAGACCTTTCCTGTCTCGCCTGCTGCTCCCCTCGGCAGTGTAGGTCAGTCGGTCTGCCTCTTCTGTTCCCCACTCTGTCTCTGGTGAATCTTCTCTCACACACACACACCCCCACCCTGCACCTCTGGCCTGTACCCCAGCTCTTGTATGTATAAATAAATCCTTACTAAAAAAAAAAAAAAGATGGAAAAGAAGAGCCAACGTACATTATGGAAATTAGAGCTGTTCAAACTTGCTAATGGATTTGAGATTCTGGGTGAAGGAAAGGATGAGGCCTAAGAGAATCTCAGCTGGTCAAGAGGGCCTGTGCTGACCCCAGGACAATGGGCACTGAGCAGGAGTGTGGGGAGGCCACTGGTGCTTTCAGAGCCTCAGTGCTGAGGAGATAAGGTCCCAGGAGGAGGTGTCTGTCCCTAGGCTTCTGCAGAGGTGCTTCAGGAAAGCCCAGGTAGCGATGTCAAAGTCAGGGGAGTGCACACAGGCACGAGCTGCAGAAGGAACAGAAAGCAAGGGCAGGCAAGTGTGAGTTTTTTAAAAGACATTTAATAGAAAAACAGGGCGAAGGGAAGGGAACTCTCAAGTTAGGAAATGCTGGTGCAGCTGGCCCAGAAGCCTCAAGAGTTAGGGCTGAGAGTCAGTGTGTAAGCACAAGGTCAGGTCCTAGGGCAGTAAGGCCATGACCTGCGGAGAGGGGGTGGGGGCAGGAGGGAAGCACCAGCTTGCTGGGGCCTTTTGCTCATCCATCAGTAACAGCAGGAGCAGCAGGAGCTTCACCCAGGGGGATCTAAACACCATCTTGACTGACAAGGTGGTCTGTCCAGATGTGGAACCTGGACAGGCTAGTCAGAGCAGTGCTCAGGCACCATGGTGATGACTATCCATGGTGGTAGGGGTGGGGGAGCCAGTGAGCCAAGCAAGAGATGGCAGGAAAGGATCTAGCCCAAGGCCCCAAAGTCTCCAGAAGAGCTGGGGTCTGAACGTTTCCAATAAGGGTCCATGTGATGCCACTGGTCAGGGACCACACTGAGTAGAATCCCTGAGAAGATAATGGGATGCGGGGGGGCGGTGGAGGGAGAAGAAAACCCGAGTCAGGACACAGCCCTTCCTCACTACCCTGGGCCTGTGCTGCTCTGCGGGCGAGACCCCATGCTTGGGGATCCAAGACAGATGCGGGTGGGCTGGGGAGGCCTGTGGGCTCCTGGGACAAAAGAGGGGACCACAGGGGGGACCAAGAGCTTTATTGAGTCACAGCCCAAAGGGCAGGTATGCAAAGGCTTTAGGAAACTCAGTGATAGGGATTCGGCCCCCAGGACAGTGTCCCTACCGGGATCCAGAGCAGCCTGCTGCTACCATGTGCTGAAGTCCCCAAAACCTCGGCTGGGCTTTTTCTTGGCCATGACAGCAGCTGCACTAGTGGATGGTTCTTCCTCTGCTACCCGTTTCCTAGACAAAGAACCAAAGTCCAGCTGCTGTGGCGTACCAGGCCCAAAGCTGGGAGCCTGTCCCTCGCACCATGCACTCACACTGATCCCCCGATCTCTTCAGCCTGCACTGAGACCCCCAGGCCAAGCCTGCACAGGTTGGCCAATCTGATGTGTGGCCACACGCACCCAGCTCAGTGCCAATTCCCAGGCCTGGCCTGGGGGCACCAGTGAGCACCTGCAGGGCACAGCCCCACTCACGTGGCTGCAGGGTTGATGTATTTGCCCACGCCCTGGCGGTATGTCTGGGGGCCCTGGCTCCCTGACTTGGCCTTGCTTGTCTTCACTGTACTGTCTGGGGCTTCTTCTTTGATCTTCGTCTTCTTCCGCTCCTCGGCAATCTGTGTGGAGCAGGACAGTGACACCCAGGTACCCAGGTATCCCAGGTGGCAGGGATCCTCCCGCCCCTCCCCATGGGGTAGCTTGCCCGACCCACCTGAGCGTCAGCCTCCTCGTAAGGGTCCACAAACACGGTGGTAGAGTTGATGCGGATCTCCTCCTAGCAGCAGAGCGGGAGACGAATGAGCAGGCCAGCCAGAGGCAGCAGTTCCCTACTCTGTACGCACCCTGGTGTCCCGGGGCACATACCTTAGGGCGGTCAGTTTTGGGGTCACTCTCCACATTCTCCATGGCTGTCAGTGTGTCAAAGCCCCCAACAACCCTGCAGCAGAGGAACAGAGGTGCCTCTGAATATGCCCAGGGCAGGGCATACCCCTGGTCAAATCCCCACACTACACCTGGGAGGGGCTGAGAATGGCCCTGGCTGTCAAGCCCTCAGAGGCACCACACAGGTAAGTGGTGGAGCCAGGCCAGATGGGCTTCAGAAAGATCTGCAGGGCTGTGGAGGAAGGCCGGGGGACAGGCAAGTGAGACTTGGTGGCTGTGTCTGACTGTCAAAGCTGTCAAAGTTATATGGGACACAGCCACACCCTGGGTGCCCACGCTGCCTGTAGCCACTTCTGTGCTATATCTGCAGAGCTAAGGCCTGGACAGGGTATCAGGCTACAGAGCTGGAAATGCCATCTGAGCCTTCATGGGAAGTGTGCCGGCCTCTGAATGAGAGGATAGAAGAGAGGACAAGGTGGAACTTGCAGTGTGGGCTGATCCAAGGAGAGCTGAGGCAGGGAGCCTATGCCGGGCAGCCAGTCAAAGAGCTGCATGCTCTCTAACCCACAGGTGCTGCCAAACAAAGAACCCCAACTTCTACACAGCCGAGGCCAAAGCAGTGAGATATGAGGGCCAAAGAGCATGGGCCAGACCCATGGGGAAAGGCAGAGAGGGCTCCCAGGTGGGAAAGGAACCCTTCAGCCTATGCTGACACCCCCACCTCACGCTGCTTCTCTTACCGCCCAAAAATGGTGTGCTTCTTGTCCAAGTAAGCACAGGAACGGAAGGTGATAAAGCTAGGAAAGGAGAACAAGAGGGTCAGAAGGGTGTGCACATGTTCTCACCTGCCTTGGCTTGGGACTGATGGGCAGGTGCCCCCCACCTGCTCCAGTGCCTGCTCTGGGAAGCTGGGTGACTCAAAGTGCACGTGTGTGGCCCCCACAACCTGCCCATCTAGGGCCACCTATCAGCCAAAGTTGCGCCCATGACTCCCTAGAAGGCCCAGAGCAGGGGAGACTCTGTGGGCAGAGGCTGGACAGCAGCTGCTCTGGAGAGGTGGTGAGAAGAGGGTAGCAAGGGGCCTACCCCGCCAAGAGGTCTACAGAGGGACCAAGGGCTTTGAAGCAAAAGGAAGGACGTGACAAGCAAAAAAGGGAGTAAAGAAATTGAGACACGTGGGCAAATGTAAACACGGACCAAGAAAATTGCCCTATCTAACTTGGTATGAAAATGAAGTGGGGCCTCCATGGTGGTGCAAGGGGTTAATAAGCACAGCACTCTGAAGCAATCCACAGCCTCTGCTGCACAAGTTCGATCCCCAGCCAGGGAGCAACCCACATGGCTCCGCAGACCTCTCCTGTTTCACCTGCTGCTCCCCTCAGCAGTGTACTTCAGTCAATCTGCCTGTTCTGTTCCCCACTCTGTCTCTGGTGAATCCTCTCACCCCCTGCACCTCTGGCCTGTCCCCCAGGTCTTGTATGCATCAATAAATAAATCTTAAAAAAAAATAAAAAAGAAAATGAGGTGGAATTAAAGAAGCTAATTACTTTAACACGTGAGATGGTCCAGGGAAACTGCAAGGATCTTATCTAAATGGGAGGCAGAGACACTAATAACTTAGTAACTTCAGACTTTAAGCAGATTTACTCCTTCATAAAGACCAGAAGAAAAACGTCTAACTTGCACAACAGGAGGGAAAAAAAAAAAAGGAAATGAAAATAAATTTTTAAAAAAGGGCCACCAAAACCACACTGGAATCCCAATATACTGACTGGAATTAAATACACACTTTAAAGTCTTCAGTTCACTTAACATAAAATCTGGGTGTGTGCCATCAAAAACAGTAGCCCTCAAACTTCAGGAATCTGAAAGGCTAAAAGCAAAAGGATGAAAGAAGATTCAAGACAAAAAAGAAGAAAATCCTGGGCCTGTCACTGTGCTCGAGGGGCTGAGGCTTCCCCAGAGGAGCAGCGCTGGTGGCTGCCCTGCATGCCGCGGTGCGCCCCAGCAAGACCTGGAAACAGAACACACAGACATGCGGAGAAGAGGCCACGGGCTGTATCAACACCCACTACTCCTCCAGCCAGGGCTGTATTCTTGGGCCACAGGGTCGCACCAGATAAGTCCACCGCACATCAAAACCCTGCATGTGTAGAACCGAACTCTGGCCACCAAGCGGGTGTCTCATTAATTTCTAACATAGGGAATTTAAAAAACCTGTGTTAAACCTGAAGAAAACAGCAATTAGAAAAAAATGAAAGGGAAACCAAATATGTAACAAAGTAAGGGCTAAAAAAACGTTCTTTACAAAAATGAAGCAAACCTTTGGCAGTTGTCAGGGAAAGCACAAAATATTAGAAGTAAACAGAGAACACTCTCATCCAGCAGCAGTTCTACAGGCTACTTAAGCCAAAGAGTTAGAAATAAATAATAAAAGGTGAGGGCCTTCCTTGTGGCACAAGGGGTTAAGACACAACCTATCTGGCTACCCGCAGCCACTGCAGCACAAGTTCGATCCCCAGCCAGGGAGAAACCCACAGGCACAGCAGACCGCTCCTGTCACGCCCATTGCTCCCCTCAGCAGGGTATTTCAGTCAGTCTGCCTGTTCTGCTCCCCACTCTGTCTCTGGTGAATTCTCTCACCCTCCCGCCCCCGCCACCTCTGGCCTGTACCCCAGCTCTTATATGCATAAATAAATCTTTTTAAAAAATAATAGGAGGAGGAGGGCGGAGCAACATGGCGGCGAGGAGACGCTGCGAGTAAGATCTCCCATTAAAAAAAGTGAATAGGGAGGAAAAGCGGCAGGTCCCAGTGAGAACCGGGACACGGAAGATAAACGGGTGACTCCAGCAAACTACCCGAAGAAGAAAGTGGCCATAAAAGAGGACCAGAAGGGAGGGAAGCGCAGACCCCTGCTCCCCTCCCCCGCCCACAGAGGCGGCACTCTCCGACCCGCAGAGAGGAGGGAAACAACAAACCAAAACGGCCCACAAGAACAAACGACGCAGCAAGCGGGACTGTGAGTGGAAAGGAACTATTGCAGCCACCACACCCCGTGAACGGGAGCTGAGGCGAACCCTGCAGGATCCGCCGCGGCGGTGAGCGAACGGCTCCGGGCGCCATTAGAGAAGAACAAAGACCCCGGGAGACGCGCACACAGCCCGGGCTGCCGGTAAGCTGGCGCGGAAAGGGGCGCGCTCGGCGCGCTTGAAAAGCAAGTGCAGACCGGGATCGCGGCTGCCCAGGTCCCCGCGCCTGCGACCTAGGCTTGGGAGACGACCTAGGCTTGCGGGGAGATGCGCGGAGGTCCTCACTGAGGTGAAGGTCCCTCCCTGAGTGAGCAGGAACCAGGCGCCCAGGCAGGGGAGCGGTGCAAAAGGCGCCATTCCCGCGCCACTGAACTGGGCTACAGCCCGCGTCCTGGAACTGAGGGCTTTGGAACTGAGACCAGGGGCACGAAATTAGGGGCGTGGGTTCCCCACGACGGTGGGGCACAAGGCAGACACAGCACCCCAAAGCCGTTGAGGTGTACCCTACCATCCCCGCTCTGCTCCCTGTCCCATGGGGTGGAAAATCAGCTCCCCAACGGCTCTAGGAGAGATCTCTGGCGCCACCTAGCGACTTGAAGCCAGCACAGGCTCCTGAAGGAGCTAGTGGCCAGCTGGGGAGTTAGCCCACACCGGGCCCCTTCCGAACAAGTAGTCTGAGCCCACAGGGAGAGCGAGCACCCACAGCCAGGGCAGACCAGGCGCGCAGAAGAGTGTGCCTGAGACTGGACGCGCAGGGAGTGTGTCCCACATCACCATTTTAGAACAGGGACATTTCTTCAGTAAAGACTACCTGCACAAGGCTTCCTCAGGAGCCAGAGGTGAGCAGGGGAAGTTCGCCCACGCCAGACCCCCTCTGGCCTGCAGTCCAAGCCCAGAGGGGGAACAGGAACCCACCGCTGGGGCAGACCAGGCGCACAGGGGAGTGTGTCCCCACATCGGCATTTTAGGACAGGGACCTTTCTCCAATAAAGACTGCTTGAAACTGACAGATAACTCCTGGAGGAACCAGAGGGGAGCAGAGAAGCCCACCCAAGATGCCGGCCAGTCCCAACAACACAGTGTCCCAACGCATACGGCAAATTAGAAAACAGACAGTAGGGAGGAGAAGAACCACACGCAACCTAGAAACTCTCCAGAGAAAAAGCACACCACAAAAGGAAAACCAGCCCCCAGATTGCAACGACAGTAACTTGGAAGAACTTCTGAGCCTTCCAGAAAGAGAATTTAAAATTGCCGTGATTAAAAACTGACAGAAGTCATAAAGGAAAACAATGATAAGGGAAAAATAATCAACGATCAAAAGAATGAAATTGAGTCCCTAAAGAGGGAAGTAAAAGAAATGCAGGAGATCAAAGAATTAGTGGAAGAACTAAAGAATTCTGGGAAAAGCAATGAAAGCAGAATTGATGAAATGGAAGAACGAATAAGTGCTCTTGAAGACACAGAAATAAAAAGAACCAAAACAGAAAAGGAAAGAGAAGTACGAAGGAAAAAGAATGAAGAAAGACTTCGGGAACTATCTGACTCCATGAGGAAAGGAAATATAAGAGTTATAGGAATACCAGAAGGAGAGGAGAGAGAAGTAGGAACAGAGAAAATATTCAAAGAGATAATTGAAGAGAACTTCCCAAATGTGAAGAAGGAGCTGAAAATTGATATACAAGAAGCAAGAAGAACACCAAACTTCCACGACGAAAGAAAAAATACAGCAAGACACATAATAGTAAAGCTCCCTAGAATCCAGGACAAGGAAAAAATAATGAAGCTGGCAAGAGGGAAGAAACAGATAACATTCAAAGGAAAGCCAATCAGGCTGACATCAGACTTCTCCGAAGAAACACTACGGGCAAGGAGAGAGTGGAGGGACATAGTCAACAGACTCCAAGAAAACAGATGCCAACCAAGAATACTCTATCCCGCAAAGCTCTCCTTCCTCTTTGAAGAAAGAATAGGACCTTCCCAGACAACAGAAACTCCGGAATTTCATTGCAACTAAACCCCCACTCCAAAAAATACTACAAGGAGTCCTAAAGCCAGAACCTCAGAGGGACGAATAAAATGAAAGAAGGACAAAAAAAAAAAGTTATTAAAAGAATAAATAATATAAAATCAAAGGAAGACAAACACAATGGCAAATACAGATGTTAACATATCAATATTAACTCTAAATGTAAATGGACTAAACTCTTCAATAAAAAGACACAGAGTTGCAGCCTGGATTAAGAACAAAAACCCAACCTTTTGCTGTCTCCAGGAAACACATTAGCTACAAAAGATAAAAATAGGCTCAAAGTTAAAGGATGGAAACAATCCTACAACAAAATGACCAAAAAAGAAAGCAGGAACAGCTATACTTATATCAGATAAAACAGATTTCAAACTCAAAAAGATAAAAAGAGACCCCAATGGTCACTACATTATGATCAAGGGGACAATACTTCAAGAAGAAATAACACTCATTAACATATACTCACCAAACGAAGGAGCACCAAAATATATCAGACAACTGTTGTCCTCTCTGAAAACAGACATCAGAGAAAACACATACGTAGTGGGAGACTTCAACACACGACTATCAACAATGGATAGATCAACAAGACAAAAAATAAGTAAAGAAACCAAAGCTCTAAATAAGGACCTAGAGCAATTGGGCTTAACAGACATCTATAGAACACTAAACCAAAAAAAACGAGTACACATTTTTCTCAAGCGCACACAGATCATTCTCCAGGATCGATCACATACTGGGGCACAAGACAAACATCAACAGATACACCAAGATTGAAATCATATCAACCATCTTTTTGACCATGAAGGCATCAAACTAGAAATAACCATAAAAAGAAGGCAAGGAACTTTCCTACCTCATGGAGATTAAAAACCACACTACTGGAAGACCACTGGACTAATGAGGAGATCAAAGAAGAAATTAAAAAATTTTTGAATTGAACGACAAGGAGGACACCAATATCCTAATGTATGGGATGCAGCAAAAGCAGTAATAAGAGGAAAATATATAGCAATAGAAGCTCACATCAAGAAACAAGAAAGAACTCAAAGAAACAACCTAATCTCGAAGCTCAAAGATCTAGAAAAAGAACAACAAAAAAACCCCAAAACCAGTAGAAGAAAAGAAATAATAAAAACCAAGCAGAAATAAATGAAATTGAAACTAAAAAACACATCCAAAAGATCAAATGAAACCAAAAGCTGGTTCTTTGAAAAAATCAATAAAATAGACAAACCCTAGCCAGGCTCACAAAGGAAAAAAGGGAGAAAGCACAAATAAACAGGATCATAATGAAAGAGGAGAAATCACAACGGACACAGCAGAATCAAAAGAAATAATCAATAACTACTATGAACAGTTATATGGAAACAAGTTTAACAATCTAGAGGAGATGGACAAATTCCTACAACTCTACAATCACCCAAAGCTAGATAAAGAAGAAATAGAACACCTAAACAGACCAATTACAATTAGCGAAATTGAAATGGTAATCAAAAACCTCCCCAAAAACAAAAGCCCGGACCTGATGGATTTACAAATGAATTCTACCAAACATTCAGAGACGAATTAGTGCCTATCCTTCACAAACTCTTCCAAAAAATTGAGAAGGAAGGGACGATACCAAACACGTTCTATGAAGCCAACATTACACTAATACCAAACCAACAAGGACAACACAAAAAGGAAAACTACAGGCCAATCTCCCTAATGAACACTGATGTAAAAATCCTCAATAAAATTTTAGCCATCAGAATCCAACAATGTATCCATAAGATAATTCACCACGACCAAGTAGGATTCATTCCAGGGGCACAAGGATAGTTTAACATCAGAAAATCAATCAACGTTATCCAACACATCAACAAAAAGAAATATAAAAACCATATGATAATATCAATAGATGCTGAGAAAGCTTTCGACAAAGTGCAACACCCATTCATGATAAAAGCCCTTGAAATTCTTGGGATACAAGGAACATACCTCAACATCATAAAGGCCATCTATGACAAGCCAACAGCCAGTATCATTCTCAATGGTGAAAAGCTGAAAGCAATTCCATTAAGATCTGGAACAAGACAAGGATGTCCACTCTCACCACTGCTTTTCAATATAATACTGGAAGTCCTAGCCAGGGCAATAAGACAAGAGAAAGACATCCAAGGAATCCAAATAGGAAAAGAAGAAGTCAAACTATCACTATTTGCAGACGATATGATATTATACATAGAGAACCCCAAAAACTCCACAGAAAAGCTAATTCAACTCATCAATCAGTTCAGTAAAGTGGCAGGATACAAAATCAACACGCAGGGCCTCCCCGGTGGCGCAGCGGTTGAGCGCTGGGTTGCGAAGCTGCCTGCGGCCTCTGCGGCGCCGTTCGATCCCCGCTGCTTCCCGGCCACCGGAGGAGGATCCCACATGGTGCGCCAGACCTCTCCTGCCCCCGCTGCCCCTCAGCAGTGTACTTCAGTCCCTCTGCCTGCTCTGCTCCCCACTCTGGCTCTGGTGAATTCTCTCACCCTCCCGCGCTTCTGACTGTACCCAGCGCATGTATAAACAAAACAAACAAACAAATATAATAAATAAAAATAAAAAAAACATGCCTCTATAAAAAAAAAAAAAGTTTTAAAAAAAAAACAAAAAAAAAAAAAAAAAAAAATCAACACGCAAAAGTCAGTAGCCTTCCTATACACAAACAATAAATCTGAAGAAGAAGAAATCAAAAAAACCATCCCTTTTGTTATTGAAACAAAAAAAATCAAATATTTGGGAATAAATCTAACAAAAGAGGTAAAGGACCTATACAAAGAAAACTATAAAACACTGTTAAAAGAAATAGAAGAAGACACAAAGAAATGGAGAGACATCCCCTGCTCGTGGATTGGAAGAATAAACATTATTAAAATGGCCATTCTTCCAAAAGCAATATACAGATTCAATGCTATTCCAATCAAAATTTCAATGTCATTCTTCAAAGAAATAGAACAATTATTGATGAAATTCATATGGAATCACAAAAAACACCGAATAGCCAAAGCTCTCCTGAAAAAAAAAAGAAGGGAATGGAGGCATTACACTCCCAGACTTCAAACTATACTACAAAGCCATAATCATCAAAACTGCATGGTATTGGAACAAGAACAGACATACAGACCAATGGAATCGAATAGAAAATCCAGAAATAAACCCACAGATTTATGGTCAACTAATCTTTGACAAAGGAGCAAAGACTATGCATTGGAGCAAAGAAAGTTTGTTCAATAAATGGTGCTGGGAAAACTGGGTCGCTACATGCAAAAGAATGAAGCTTGACCACTACCTCACACCATACACAAAAATCAACTCAAAATGGATTAAAGAACTAGACATAAGACCTGAAACCATAAAATATATAGAAGGAAATATAGGCGAAACACTACGTGATTTGCACATCAAAGACATCTTTACAGACACATCACCCAAAGCAGTGATAGTGAAGGCAAAGATAAACAGCTGGGACTACATCAAATTAAAGAGCTTCTGCACAGCAAAAGAGACAATAACAAAAACAAAGAGAAACCCCACCAACTGGGAGAACATTTTTGCACCCAACACTAATGATAAAGGACTGATCACAAAAATCTGCAAAGAGCTGATGAGACTCAACAACAACAAAGAAAATAACCCAGTCAAAAAATGGGCAGAAGAGCTAAAAAGAAACTTCTCTGAAGAGGAAATGCAAATGGCCAACAGGCATATGAAAAAATGTTCAACATCACTTGCCATCAGGGAAATGCAAATCAAAACTACCATGAGATACTATCTTACACCAGTGAGAATGGCACATATTAAAAAAACTAGCAACAACAAATGCTGGCGAGGGTGTGGAGAAAAAGGAACTCTTCTGCACTCTTGGTGGGAGTGCAAACTGGTCCAACCACTGTGGAGAGCTGTGTGGAGATTTCTGGACCTACTAAACATAGAGCTTCCATATGATCCAGCAATTCCACTCCTAGGTATTTACCCAAAGGACACAGAAACATCAATTCCAAAGAGCACCTGCACCCCTATGTTTATAGCAGCACTCTTTACAATAGCTAAGCTTTGGAAACAACCCAAATGCCCAAAAATAGATGACTGGATCAAGAAGATGTGGTACATATATACCATGGAATATTACTCAGCATTCAAAAAAGATAAACACATGCAATTTGCAGCAACATGGATGGCGCTGGAAGGGATCATGCTCAGCGAAATAAGCCAAAAAGAAAAAGAAAAATACCGGATGGTCTCACTCATAGCAGGAATCTAGAAAACTTAAATAAGGGACCAGGAAAATGAATAACTATAAGAAAGTGAAAATCAAAATCAACAAAAAACTATGAACCAGAGACACTTTTTGGGGGGCGGGGGCGGGAGGGGAGGGATTGGGGTCAGAATGGGGGGGCTGCAATTGTATGGGGAATATAACAATAAAATTTATTATTATAAAAAAAAAAATAAAAAATAAATTTCAAAAAAAAAAAAAATAATAATAAAAGGTGAAACCGTCCCCGAAAAAACAAAACACACAACCCCCATACCCAGTCTTCCTGGAGTGAGAAACACCACCCAGGCAGCCCCTGAGCAGAAAGACAGTAACCAGGGTGCACCAGTAGCTAGCAAAGTGGGGCAGGGGGATGCAGCCTCAACATGATGGCTTCAGTGGTAAAGAGTGAGATGTGAAATCAAGTAGACAGAAAAAGACACCAGGAAGCAGCAAAAGTAAGTACCTACACCACCTAGGGAAAAGGAATAGATGTGATCAGAAGAGATGGAGGAGGAGACACCATGGAAACAAGTCTAGAAATCTAGAGATGGGCGAGCTGAATCATCCAGTTGGCTCATGAAGTGACGCCCTGACTAAACAAGCATCTGACTCCACAGTAACGTAACCCACCCCAAGACTGACTGTGCAAGCTGTACCCCACTGGGCTGACCAACCTGTCCGGGGCAGCCAGGCTAGGCTCCCAATTGAACACAGCCAACACGGAGCAGCAAGGATGCGCTTTACTCCCCAAGACACAATAGCGACAGAAACACTGGCCAACCCAGTGGTCTCTTCCACACATTTCAGGAGGGAAAAAAGGAGCATGTGACTGTAGTAGCAGACACTAAAAGAGAAGCATCTCTTCCAAAAAACTAAACCAACTACAAATCTGATCAGATGGCTACACAGCATGTCACTTAGCAGGACGCCCACCTCCTCGCCCTCACAGGCCTCACAGTGAGGTGACTGCTGCTCACACAGCAAGAGCAGGCACCCCCTCATGCCAGTACACATGAACAGCTAGAAAATTCTAGGCTCTTTAAAAGCTGTTTTAATTAGGAGAATCTGATAAAAGTTATAATTTTTCTCTACCTGGAATTGCAGGGGGGGGAATCCATTTATAATACTATCACAAATCATAAAATCCTTAAGGAGCAGCTGTACCCAGGAAGGCAGGGAACTCATGTGAAGAAAACTATAAAATCACACTAAAATCACTCCCTACTAGCAGGGTGCCCGGGACTCACAACTGAGACTTGTTGCTGTTGGGCCCCGAGTTGGCCATGCTGAGGATGCCCCGGCCTGTGTGCGAGAGGTTGGGCCGAAATTCATCTCTAAAGGGCTTCCCCCAGTACGAGGCCCCACCTGAAAGAGAAAGAGCGTGGCCGGCAAGAGGCCGACCGGGTCCCAGTCAAGCGTGGCCAGCAGGCGGCAGCTCAGCTCCAGAAATCTGTTCAGGGTCCCCGGGGCAGGCACTCAAGGGCGTGTGTTTGGGCAGGAGGCAGCCTGAGACCCTCACCACCAACCTCCCTCTGGACTCTATCCAGCCCCAGGCCCCTGGGGTAAAGGGTCGAGACCACAGCTCACTATCATCCACCCCACATGGGATCGAGCGCGCCTTGGCCCAAGCAGCTGACAGGGTGTGGCAGCATGAGAAGCCACAGCTGGGACTCCAGAGCCAGGCCCAGTGCTATGTGCTGCTGACTCCCTCAAGCCTCCCTGGTCAGCGGCAGAGGCAGATACGCCCAGAGGTCCCTAGAGGACGTAATGTGCCCCCCGGCTATTATTTAAGCCTCAGAACCACAGAAGGACACACCTAAGGTCACACTGCCCATACGTGAGTAGGTGGCTGGTCTATCAGGTCCATGTCCAGAGCTCTTGGCAGCCCAACGCACCCACTTGGGTCTTATGGACCATTCAAAGCTAACTAAGGAGCCCCAGCACCAGTACCTACCTGTGCCTGTGCCAGTGGGGTCACCCCCTTGGATCTGCAAGAACAAAAGCCAGTAAACAAACTATGCTCCTTGGTTCTGCCCAGCCCTCGCCACTCACTGCCCACCCACCGCCCCAGCTCCCCACCCGAAAGTGGGCTACACGTCAGGGTCTGAGCTCTGGGCTCAGGACACCTCTATGCACAAGCCCAGTACTGGCCAGGCTGGGGACTCAAGGGATCGACCCGAAGGGTCCCTGCCCATCTGCAGGAGCTCAAAGGTACGACACTATTCACCTGGTCCTGGCCAGGTGCTACACAGCTCCCCGTGTCCCAGGCACATCTGCAGCCAGCAGCAACTCCCGTCCCTCACCACAAAATTCCTGATGGATCTGTGGAAGATGGTGCCATCATAATATTGCTTCTTGCAAAGCTTGATGAAATTTTCGCAGGTCTTTGGTGTCTGTAAAATTGCCCAGGTACTTCTGTGACACATGTGGCCAATGGGAGGGTCCCCACCACATCAACCACCCAGGGCCCTCGCTGGGCAGAAGCACATGGTCAGCAGCCTAGTCAGAGGGCAAGGACCCATGAAGCCAAGTGACAGGACACACACTGTGACTGCAGCAGTTTCCCAGAGCCAAGGGAGAAAGTGGGCCAGGGGACAGTGCAGCTCAAGCCCTTCTGTGTGAGGTGCGCAGGCCTGCTCAGGACGCGGCCAAGGAAAGATGGCATGTGGCTAACAGGGTCCCTGCTAGGGGTGAAAGGGCTCACACCTTTCTCTTGGGGAGGGGCTGGGGTGTTCTACAAGCACGCACTAATGAGGCTTGGTTAAGACTGTGCCAGTGCCCCCGGGCATAGCACACACCCACCATGTCGCAGTGCAGCTCCAGGTTGAGGTCTCCCCAGTTGGTGTGCAGCCGCACATAGCCCTTCTTCTTTACAAACTGGTAGCGCAGTACATCCTCGTCAATGGCAGCTGCAAGCAGAGGCCCAAGCTTTGTGCCTGCCCTCAACCTAGGGAGTCCCACCCCACACCAGGCACTAAGCCTCAGATGCCACCCCAGCTCTGAGGAGGACCAACGAGTCAGAGCCTGAGGTTTGCCCTGGGCATGCACAGGCTTGTGGGGTCCGGACAGGGCAAGTCTACAGGCAGAGGGGGCAAGCCAGGGCTCAACAGTTAAGTGATGCCTGAAAAATATGGATACAGGGTGAAAGAGACTGTGGGAGAGGGCTGGGGACTAAGGGATGGTTATGGACAGGCCAAGAACATAAAGAGGGGGCCTAAGGACAGTGCCAGGGGCAGCCTACGTGGAGGGCCAAGGTGCCCATGGCAGCCAGTGCAGATACCAGGATGCATCTGTAGATGCAGATGGTAGGGGAGGGCCTCCTGTCCCCAGTCCATCACTCACACCAGCCTCCCCCAATCTGGACAAGCTGTCCAACAGCCCACATAGCCCAAGACTAAAGGAGCAATGCCTAAGGAGGGTAGGGAGGCACCGCACCCTACCACTGCTGACTGGAGCCAAAAAAGTAACTACCTGCTTCATGTGTGGTCTCTGGAACCATGGCAGTGGAGGTGAAGGAGGCACTAACCTTCCCAGTGGAGTAGTGAGCCTGTCAAGAAAACCACAATAGCATACTGTGGTGCCCTGGGCGGTAGGCAGGCTGGAGACACGGAAACCAGCCATCCTCACTGTTCAGGTCCTTCTCAGGATTTCTCTTCCAGGAAGGCCTCCCTGACTACCACCCACAAGCACCAGCAGGAGGGTTGTGGAGGACAGGATGACTTGGCCTGCACTGACCTCTCCCCACAAAGAGCTATGATGACAAGTGTTGGAGAAAGGAAAGCTGGGATGCCTGGGGTCCAGCCTTTGTGGGAGCCAGCAACCCGTGGGCCCCAGCTGTGCCAAAGGTCCAGTCGGCCAAGGTTCTCGTGTTATATGAAACCCCCAGGCAGAGCTGGTCAGCTGGTATGAGGGGCTCTAATACCTTTTTAAAGCTTTCAGGGTTTTATAATAAATAATCTTTTAACCAGGAAAAAAAAATAATGATTTTTTTTTTTTAATTCTAGAAAGATTTAGGAGGGGAGGGAAGGGGTTTCAGAAGAAAATACATCAAAATTGCTAAAAATTGTTATTAGAATAGGGGGACTGTGAACAACACACTCATTATTTTACTTTTCTAAATTTCCATGGATAATTCTTTTTTTTTTTTTTTAGAGATTTATTTATTTATTTATACAAGCACTGGGTACAGTCAGAAGCGCGGGAGGGTGAGAGAATTCACCAGAGCCAGAGCGGGGAGCAGAGCAGGCAGAAGGACCGAAGTACACTGCTGAGGGGAGCAGCGGGCGGCAGGAGAGGTCTGCGCGCCATGTGGGACCCTCCTCCTGTGGCCGGGGAGCAGCCGGGGATTGAACCGGCACTGCAGAGGCTGCGGGCAGCCTCGCAACCCAGTGCTCAACCGCTGCGCCACCAGGGAAGCCCCCTTGGATAATTCTAACAGGAGAACCCCACCCCTACCCCAACCCTCGCCCCCAGCAAGCCAGGCCATGCCTGAACAGAAGCAGGTGGATGTCGGCTTCCTGAGAAAGGCCCTGGATGTCTCTACCTGAGTTTGCGCTAGGTACCTGTGACGAGCTCTGCAGGGCATGACTGTGCCCCAAAGGGTCATCCCTCCCACCACCCACAGGCTGCCATGTCACAGGGTGTGGCTGAAGCTTGAGCCAGAGCACAACACAGACCTTCCATGGCTGGGAGCCACCTCCCTTGATGACTCGTCATCTTCCCAGTCATCCCAGGGCAGTCCTCCAGGGACTCAGTGACTCGCAGGGGTCCAGGTCACCTCCCATCCAAAGGTATCCCAGGACACCCATAAGCCCCTTCCCTGGGATGACTCAGAGAAGCTGAGCTGGTGGAGTGGTCAAGCTGTCAGCTGGTGGCCCTCCTTTTACTCACTGCATTCAATTTGTCCACCTTCTTCTTCTCTGGGACCTTCATGGTGGCTGCCAGGATCTCATCCCCTTTGAACTCCTTGTAGAGCTCCTGCAGCGTTTCTCGGGTCTCCGCATTTGTGTTTTTCAAATAGTAAGATGGATCCTGTTTGGCCTTTTCTTCATCTATAAACAGCACAGGAGCCCTGAGCAACCAAGCCCCAGCAATGTCTTCACAGAAGGCCAGAGCAGACAATAATGGAAGCCCCATGCTGGCCCCACGTAACCCATAAGGCAGTGGCACCTTCATTAATGTAGTCTGGACACAGCTCTGTCGCTACAAACCCAGACGGGACTTTGTGGAGGAAGAGAGACAGAAAACACCCTGCAGGGTAGCAAGTCCACCTGCCAGTGGTTTCCACTGTAGTCCACTTGGGTCTGTCTAGGGCCTCAGCCCCGGCCTCACAGTGTTTATTAGCAGCCCGCACCACAGGACCTCGATGGCAAAAGCCAGCTAGCTGAGGGTGCCCGCACAGGACCTGCCCATTTGTCAGAGTGGCCCTGTGGCCTGAGCTAACTGCCTTGCCCTACAGTGGGGGCAGAGAAAATTCCTAAGGATCAAGGAGAGAGACCTAGCGCACAAAGGACAACCCCTATCCCCCGGCACCTGGGAGAAGTGGCTCAAGGGGCAAGCCCTGGAGCAGAGTCTTGAGGTGAGCAGCCAGGCTTCCACCACTGGAAGGAGGCGGTGGGTACCAAGGCACCATGGCCCTGCGGCATCAACCACATGTTCTGCCGCCTGTGCACATGTGTGGTCCGAGGTGGTCCTACCACCCTCAGTGCAGGAGAAGCTGAATGCCGGCAAAGGACATTCATGTCCGGGCTGAGTGAGACTCCTGGACCCCCAGCCCCAGAGAGGCAAGACCTTTGCCAAGGAGCTCCAATTTACTTCACCCAAACCTACATACCCAGAGACCAGCCTGGGTTGTACATACCTGGATCTGTTATTTTCACATTATTCTTAACATGAAAGAAATTGGAGACATTGAATTTGTCCAAATTGGTGGGATCCTGTGGAAAAAAAGAACATAACAGCAAATTGGAACCAGCACACAGCCAGGCCTATGTGGCTGTCCCAGGCAGCAAAGGCTGGGTGGTGGCATGACAGATCTGAAACCAAGAAGGGAGAGGCTGCTGGCAACCTGGGGGCCCAGTCATGGGATGGGGGTATATGTGTGCCAGGATTTAGGATGGGAACAGAGTGGTATAAATGGTTCCTTGCTTACCACACTGAGGATCCTTCACCCTGGCACACAGCTAAGAACATCCCTTGCTGAGATGGGAGGTTTGCTGAGGGGTCATGGGCAGACTTGGGGCCTCCTCCTCATGACCTCCCACCCTGGGAGTACCCTGCCCAGTTCTCCCTGCAGGAGCCTGCTGGACATAGATCCCACAGTGCCATGGGTGCTGGGGAAGGTGAGTCCCCACTTGTAAGGGAAATCATGCTGACCTTTGATAAGTGGGACAAACCACAGAAAGGAGAGGGCTCATGCTAGTCACTCTGACTTTCTAGGTCTCAAACTTCTCAGACACCTACAGGGGTGCCCTGCGTTGATGTTGGGGTACAGAGCATGCCCCAAGCCCGAAAAGGATCACTCAGAAGTCGAGACAGCTTCAAGGGTAGAGAGGAGGGGCCCTGACACAGCAGATGTGAGAGCCAGACTGAGGAAATAGTGTGATGCCCAAGGTGACCACCGAGCCTGGGTGGAGGTGTGGGTTGGCAGGAGGGAGCTGTGCCCAGGTTCTCAGTATAGGCCCTCCCTGGGAACAGCAATCGGGAAAGGACACTCACCTGGAGAGTGAGGATGTCCTGCCTGGAGAAGGGCTCGTCTGTCAGTAGGTCACGTAAGTTCTTGGCCTTAATATTTAGCTGCTCCACTGCCTAAGCCAGGAAGAAGACTGATATTACGATGCCCGGTTCCCACCCTGGCCTGGACGATGGTGCCATTGCAATAGTGAAGAAATGGACAGGGACAACCGTTGACCCACCACAGGCTCACAGCAGTGGCCTGGACACTGAAGGGCAGAGTCTGTTGAGCTGGACAAGGGCTCAGCCCTCACCAAGTCCTCACTAGGATGCTCTTGTGCAATACATTTACAGAGAAGCCAACAGGCTCAACAAAGCTGCCCACCTCTACAGAGCGACACCACCACCTGCCCCCAGTCAGCAAACGCCTCCTGCAGAAGTGACCTTCAGAGCCTAATAGCAGCACTGGCCACCCATGCCCTGCAGCGGCACACCCAGAGGAGGCGGACTGGCATGGGAACCAGGACCTCCTCTTTCCCACACCTGCCCACCAGCTGGCATCCACTCCTCCTGGTGGACTCCATGCTTCCCTTGCAGACAGGGTCTGTCCTCAAAGAACAGTTTCCCTGCCTGGCGTCTGGTCAGTAAGTGAGCCCTTGAGTCCAAGGACCTACCCAGAGCCAGAACTGCTTGGGCTTCAGGTGTGAGGCTGTGGGCAGGTCCCCCTCTTTTCTTGACTGTGTCGCTGGCTCTAACCATAGGCCCCACAAGGACAGGCTGTGTCTGCTTTGTCTGGTGTGCACCAGCGCCTGGCCTGGGTTCCTGGAGTCCACACCCCACACAGCTCCTGAGAACATACCTCGTAGGCGTAGACATTGCCGGTAGTCCTCACAGCCACAATGTGGGTGTTGTTGTTGAACACCGTGTACAGCACTGGGCAGTGGTACTTCCCTAAACACAAGGAGAACACAGAGAAGAGTTGTGGCAGAGCCCGACGTCAGCCCGCCCAGAGTAGGAACCCAGAGCATCAGCCAGCGGCTCAAGCCTTGCCCCCTACTCACCCCCACCAACTAGGAAACTATTTGAGACCAACTCGTGCATGGCAGATTCACTCCCTGAGCACCTGCCATCAACCACCACCCGGCATCCTCTACCTGTACTCAGGAACTCAGTCCTTCCCACAGCAGTCACAGTAGCTCTCTCAGTTCAGCCTTCAGACCTGCCACATCCCCTAATGCCCTCACTTGGATCATCACAACAAACTCCTGCAGCCCTCCCTGCCCTGGGTGCAACCTTGCCACACTCTGTGCTGTAGCTAGGGGACCAGTTCAAATATCACAAGAAGTAAACTGCAAAAAAGGAGGAAGGGGGAGAAACACACACAGATGAAGAGATATGCAGATGTGTGTGTTCTTTAAAAAAAACCCTGATATGTAAACTACAGAAAAATAATTATAAAAGCATTCTGGAAACTTGACTACTGGCTGTATGTTTGTATTTGATGGGATTTAAGGAATTTTTGTTGAGTTTATAAGTATGATAATGGTACAGCAATTATTATGATCCTTATCTTTCAGGGATATGAGGTGAAGTACTTAAATATGAAATGATAAAATGTCTGGGATTTGCTTCAAAATCATCTAAGAGGATGCAGAGTGCAAGTGCAGATAAAATCAGATGAGCTGTGAGTGGATGGGCACGGAAATTGGGCAATGGGTATGGGGCAGGAGGTCACTGTATAGATTCTCTAACTCTCACGTGCCTGAAATCTTCTAGTAAAAGCAAAAATGGCAATTGGTAGGTCAAAGCTGTTCAAAGAAAAGGCACTAGTCAGGTCAGATTCTGTCTCTCTTTTCTCACTCAAATCTTAAGAGTCTTCTAGTGGCCACCCAGGCCCTGCAGGATTCTATTCTGCCCTCTGACTGCAGCCCATCTCCACTCTTCCAGCACAGCATTCCTGGCTATGCCCTGGCAGGCTTGCAGGGTTGTGCACTGGCTGTTCCCTCTGCACAGAATGCCCCTCTCCAAACCGCTACACAGCCGCCTCCTTCCTTCCATCAGATTTCCACTCAAACTGTGTCAGTGAATCCTGCGATGATCCTCTCCCTGCTTTACTTCTGGGTCTGGCAGAAACAGCATCTGACACACTATGGAGAGCTGTTTCCCAGTTTCCTCCTCCATCAAAATGTACATTCCTTTCATTATGGGAGAGACATGGCTTGTTTTGCTCTCTGCACATGGCAGCCACTCAGTAAATATCTGCTGAAGAGACTGTCACAGCATTCTGCCACCACAGCAGAGCTCCTTGAGCCTCAGGAACATGGAGAAATATGCTCTGGTCCACTCACTCCCTGTGACCCCTACTGTGGGCCACCCTGGCCTCAGATCTCCCCAAAATGCACAAGTTCACTGAGCATAGAGACCAACCTCAACCATAGCATCTGCACAGACCAAAGGAATTGAGAGCAAGGTCAGTGCCCAGGAAGGAGAAGGGGAGATTGCCTTGGTTCAGGCATCTGGTCATTTAGAACAATGAAGGGTTTGTATAGGGGCACAAAGCAGGACCCTAGAGGTAGGCTGAGACTTTATAACTAGAGGGGAGGATAAATCCAGTGCAAGAGTTGCCGTCAAAACTATCCAGACCCTCCTTCCCCCAAGTCCAGCCACCCACCCAGGGCCTCATTGAGCAGCTTCTGCCTCCAGTGGTGAGACCAGAGTCATAGTTAAGGAGGCCCAATTATGCCCAAAAGGAGACCAGTACTCCACCTGGCCCAACCACCTTTGTGGGAGGTGCGCAAAACCTGAGGTTACATACAACCTCCCTCCCTCCCCCAGCTTTAACCTACCTGGACCTTAAAGAATTTCTTCTTTAAGAAGAAATTATGTTACATTTTTTAGAAAGTGAAAATAAGTGTCCAGCCTGATCAGAAAGGAATGACTGATTCAATATAGAAAATGGTAGAAGGGAGGGAGTCTGGATCCCATCCTAGAGCCAGTTTTAAAAGGGATTACTCACCTTCGCTGTTCTTTGCAAAGTTCAGCTTGATCAGGGACCTCCCATCCAGTTTCTGGAAAAATTAAAATTAATAACAGGTAAGTGACTGATGTGAAGAAATGCTGGGCTATGAAGGTGGGTGAAATAGGTATACTAAGAGTAGTATCTGGCCATCCAAATTTATCCACTGCTGACAAGAGACCTGACCTGGGGGCCCAGGACACAGCAACTACCCTGGATAAGAGGGTAAGTAAGCAAAGTGGCCCCACTCACCACAGGGGCTACCTCCAGGCTGGAAGCGAAGGCTGAGTGTGAAGGTTTGGTTTATAGTTCTATGTCTAGATATTCTTACAAAAAATAATGATTACTTCTAAAACTTAAAAATAAATATATCTCTCCAGCTGGTTGGTGGTTACAAAGGTGTTCACCTTCTTGTTCTGTTATATAACTATTTAAGACAAAAGATTTAAAAGGAGTAAACAGTCCTAAAGGGAAAAGAGTAAACACACCCTAAGAGCAGTTGTGATGGGATCCTCTATTTTCCCAAGTTTCTGTAATGTGTCTGCTGTGCACCTGTCCTAAGGGAAACTTTGTTTACAATAAAACAAAGACCAGACAGCCACAGGAAAGAATCACCCTACCGGGAGGCCTCAATTGTAAAAGTAAAGGGAGGCTATGGAGGCACCCTGGGAGGGAGAGGCAAAGCAGAATAATTACTTTGGCTGCCTGTCATGAATAGCTGCTGGCCATCTGGTGAAGGGTGTGGAGGGGGCCTGGCCCCCCAACCCAGAGGAGACACTGGGTGGACATCCGGGGGCTGAACTGGGCATAAGCCAAGCTCCGGCCCTGCTGAAGTAGTCGGTACACATGCACAGCTCCGTGAAGCCCCTGCCTGCTGATGAGCACCACATCTGCTCCTCCACAGCTGGCTTCATTCCTTTGTCATTCAATGATCCTATACACACTTGCACAGGAGAGCCTCAGACTCCAGGATAGTCTACCAGGTCCTTGCCTAAGGACATCCCCCCCATCAGACAGCCCTTCTTTTGGCTCAGACACCCATGTACATGAAAACTGAGACAGCGCACACACAACCTGCTCCTCCTGAGGCCCCAAGAAGTAACACAGGCCCAAGCTGGCCCCTGCTCCAGAGGTTCACTGCGACTAACACCACAGGAACCCTCTTCAGATATTCAGCAGAAGGGGGCTCTGCTACCACCACATCTGGCCAAGCTAGCTAGCCCTCACTCAGCAAGGCCCTCCTGAGACCAGGCTAGGGAGAGGAACTATACTCAATATGGATGTGTGGGGCTTGTCAGGGGTGTTCCCTGCAGAAACTCACCCCAATAGGACACTTGGAACAAATAAAATGGCTAAGCCTCAATGAGATATGCCCAAATAAGGAGTCAAGCTAAGTGCCATATTGGACCTGGTGGGTGCCAAGCACAGAGCATTTATGTTTTGGAGCCCTGAAAGAGCACCTGCACAGCAAAACACCCTAAGTAACAAAAAGCATCCCTGATGCAACCAAATGACAATGCCCACCAAGAAAGAGAGCGAGGTCATGAGGATAGGTGTGGACAAGAAAACATAAGAGAAGCCTGAAACCCAGCACTGACAAAGGATAGCACAGACCCTCAGCCACAGAGGAGCCTGGTCTTGACACCAGCTGGTCCCTCCACTGGGACACATGTGATCTGATCCTGAGTACGACAAAGTATCACAAAACAAGCCAATCACAGGCAGATAGTGCAGACCCTGAAGAAAGGAACTGAAAGCCCACAGTGGTTCCCAGTAGCAGATCCTAAAGAAAAACATTATCAGTCACACTTTTAAAAGACAAAGACAGAAGGACGCAACAGACAGCTGGAGGGTACTCCCCTTGTTGACAGCAAGCACCCCAACCAAACCACATTAAAGAGAAAAGCCCACTGAACTCCTGAGTTCAAACACTGCCCCCAGTACACCCTGGAGGAATCATCCAGTCAACCTGTCCTCCAAGGTTCACAGAAGCCCCCACCTGCCTGCTTGCCCTCCCCGTTCCACATTCAGCCCAAATGCCTGCCTCTGCTATATGCAGCCACCATCATCCTGCCAAAATCCTACTAGCCTGGAATCCAAACACAGGCAGGATCACCTGGTTCTGCTGCCTGTCCCTGGCTGAGAAGAGCTAACTGACCCAGCTCCCCTGGATGGGCTGCACTAGGAGGTAACTACTGACTTGACATCTCAGCAAGCCTAATGGTCTACCCTCACAGAATGGCAGGGCTTCTTAGCACAGACCACTAGGCACATGGTAAGGGTTCCAGGAAGTTATGCACTGACATGATTGTTAATCCCAGATTCTCTGACACACTGAGAGGCACAAAGGCAAGGCACAGAGGGGTTATTCACTGTGTGATCACATCCATGTGTATACACATCTATACACACACATCGGGAACATTTCCAGAAAGGAATGGGAGTGGAGAAAGGTGTGGAGGGGAGGACAGTTTTTCTCACTGTGCCCCATAGGTGGTTCTCTACCAGGTATGTGTGCAGGAAAACCAGAGAGAAAAGGATAAGCCAGTGGTCAGCACACACAGGCCATCACTTGCACTCTTGCACAGCCACCTACCTCTCCATTGCTGGGGTTAGTCCCATACTTCTTAAGCCAGGGGACGATATTCCTGAAGGAAGAGACAGAGGTATCAGTGAAGGGTTTGGGCAGCATGGGAACAAGGGCACAGTACAAGCTTCCAGGCAAAAAAGCTTCCATCCCAGGAACGGTTTTACTCCAAGCAAGAAAAGGAGTAACTTGCCTGGTCAGAGGAAGCAGGGAATATTTCTGGATACACAGGTTTCAAAGTATGGTCAATCATGGTTCTTCCTACAGTTACATATAAACAACACAAACTACAGTTTATGTATAAACAATATGTAAATGTTGGTATGTCCACACAATGAGACACTAGGGCACCATGAAAAAATTAAAGAGTTTTTTAGAATTCTGAATAAGATGGGATAAAAAGCTTTGTGATCATGTGATTTATAATAAGAAATATGTATCTGGCCTTCATCCTATTTTTGGCAAGAGCTCCTAAAAGCCTTGGAATCTCCTAATTGATGAGATCAACAAAGGTGTCTCTCATTGTGATGTTCGAGGTAACTTCTGGAAAGCGCCTAAAGATGGGGACAGTTGCTAAGAGAACCAACCTGGATTAGAGGGTTAAAATTTCAGTCTCATCCCCCGCAACCTATGGAGAAGGGAGGGCCTGGAGGTTGAATCAATCATCTGTGGCTATTGACTTTATATCACACCTGTGTAATGAACCCTCCATAAAAATCCAAAAGGAGGGGGTTCCAAGTTTCCAGATTAGCAAGACCGTGAACGCGCTGGAGTGGCACACCTGAAGCACCATGCTCTTTCTCCACACCATGCCCTATGCATCTCTTCTGTGAACATATCACAAATGTTCTGGGAACCCCCACTCCTGCTCTAGCAGGCAAGAGAGCAAAGCCATCTGCACAGATTTGAAGTCAGAACAGGCTGCAGCCTGTTCCGTGAAGCAGCTCTGCAAAAATCTGCTGCCTGCAGGTAAAGCAGCCCCCACTAATGACCAAGGAGCTAGATAAAGATTTAAACAATGGGTACCCAACCTACTCCTCTCCACAGTGCATTTTTTAGAAATCCAAGACATGATTAAATCCCAGGTTTTGCTCTCCTCTGTGCATAGATAGCATCAACATATCTTTAAGTGAAAATAAGAACAGAAGCTTCCCCCACCCCACCTGACACCCCATCAAGAATAATTACATCTTTTATATCAGTGACTCATTGTTCCAATCTATGTAAACTAAACTCAAACTTATGATTGTTAGAAAAAGCTCTCCCAGAGTAAAATCTGTTGGATGAGTTCTTGGATTCAAATCCTCACTCTGATTATCTAATAAACTTTAACTATCATTGAGACTTTTATTCCAGTTAATACTTCTGGATATTAAACTGGTGATCTAAAAAGTAAAATGTTTTAGTTCTGCAGCCTGTTCTAACAAATTAATCAAAACTAAGGAGGAGGTGGTGGGAACCTCTGATTTACAGTCAGTCAGTCAGACACACAGTAAAGTCTGCCTGGGTCTGCCAACAGGCATCTGAAGAGAAGGGGTGAGGAACAGTACTGCCCTGTGTGATGGCACCCCTAACCTATGGAAAGTATGTTCAAGCAGCGTTTTTACTACTATCTAATATGCTATCTCTAGGTACAGTATTAGAACCAAGTTTAACTGCAGGCCACCCCACTGGTGTTGCTTATTGTATGTGTGCAGAACCCATTTTTTTTTTTTTTTTTTTTGTGGGACCCTCGCCAGTGGCCGGGGATCGAACTGGTGCTGCAGAGGCTGCGGGCAGCCTCGCAACCCAGCGCTCAACCACTGCGCCACCAGGGGAGGCCTGTGCAGAACCCATTTAAACTCTCAACAAAACCGAGTGAAAACTGGACCCAGAACTATCCTCATAGTATTATACTTTATAGTAATTACTACAAACTAACTCACAGAAAAGAAGTGTATAAACATTGACAGTGGTTACCCTGGATAATGTGATTATGGTAAAAATTTCCTTTTACTTTGAAATATTTTCCAAATTGGGTCTGAAAATTATAGACACTAGCTTTTGCGGGAACATAAAACTGCATGTTTCAAAATCCAGCACCAGAGAAATACACACACCTTGATTATGGCTCTACTTTCCTAAAGTGAAAAATACTCAGCTTGTTAACATTCCAAAATGGTATAGGTGTGCCAATCAATTAGGACCTCACATGGAGGAAGGGGAGGTCAAAGTCATTCTAATAAAACTGTCTGCCTGGGACTCACAGCAGCACTGCGGCCTCATCTGAAGCTCTGGCAGTTCCTCCTAGGTTCTCAAAAAGCCCACCCAAGATTTCTGAGGCTGCAAGGACCAAGGGCTGGAGACCTCAGAATGGCCTGACTTGGCATCGCCTGGAGCCACAAACCCTCAAACTGTCCTGAAATTCCCTTTCTGAGTGGGCATCAATAATCTCACCCCATTTGCTAGATCAAAAGTCAAGGGAAGGAGCTCCCTGGTGGTGCAAGGGGTTAAACACAGAACTATGGAGCTATCCGCAGCCTTTGCAGCACGAGTTCGATCCCTAACCGGCCAGGGGCAAACCATATGGCACAGCAGACCTCTCCTGTCTTAGCCGCTGCTCCCCTCAGCAATGTATGTCAGTCAGTCTGCCTGTTCTGTTCCCCACTCTGTCACTGGTGAATCCTCTCACCCACCCCCACACCTCTGGCCTGTACCCCAGTTCTTGTATGCATAAATAAATAAATCTTAAAAAAAAAGTCAAGGGAAAACTCACAGTAAGTCAAAGATGATGCCTTCGGGAGTGCAGACCGGGTAGACGAAGGGCTGCAGAGAGAGACTAAGAAAGGAGAGACTCCTGATGAACTGCTGAGCACACTGGTCATGCCCCTCCCCCACACATGAATCTGTGACTTTCCCCTTTGCTCCTCCCTCCTTCAATCCTCCTTTAGTGCTCCTCCGCACAGAACAGAGGTGGCCCTGATACCCCGGCCCCTCAGAAAAAAAAAAAAAAACCATTAAGTTTGTACCAAACAAGGGTTTCAGGAGATGCTCAAGGGCCCTTGGGACAACAGTAACCTGGTTCTCTCCATGTAACACATGTTCACATCCAAAAGCGATACCTGGGAGTGGCCTCAAGAAGGCAGGGCTGGAATTTGCTCCCTAAACCTCACATAGCAGGCACACTTTTCTACTGAGAACTGCCCTCCTCATCCCAAGAGATGGGTGGGGCTATCACAGCATGAGGGTATCTGCCTGCTCCTACCACAGATTGCACACAGTTCCCCCCACATTTCCAACAGTTGGACACATGACTCAGACAAGAACTGAAGCCCTATGAGCCCTGGGTAAGTTCTGATACAAGAAATGTGAAGGCAGAAGGGTGTGGAGAGGCCCAGACTGCCATATATCCTTTTCGGACCTGCCTAGGAAAAGCAAAAGCCATAGCTGTAGAGAGTGCAGACCTGGTGGACTGATTTGAGCCAATATCCTTTTTTCTTGCATAGGCTTTCTGCCATTAGCCATCCTGGAGGATCTGGCTTATTTGTACAGATTAGCTATCAGTTTGTTCAGCACAGCATAGCTACACGAGGCTGACTTCCTGAGTCCCTGCCTCCTGGGAAGCAACTCTTGGTGCACCCCTACCACCTCCACCTCAGGCCCAACCATCTAACTTGGTGATGCTAGGAACTGACTAGAATAGATCCAACACCAGGGCCTCCCCGGTGGCACAGTGGTTGAGCACTGGGTTGTGAAGCTGCCCGCAGCCTCTGCAGCACCGGTTCGATCCCTGGCTGCTCCCGGCCACCAGAGGAGGGTCCCACATGGCGCGCAGACCTCTCCTGCCACCCGCTGCTCCCCTCAGCAGTGTACTTCGGTCCTTCTGCCTGCTCTGCTCCCCGCTCTGGCTCTGGTGAATTCTCTCACCCTCCCGCCCTCCTGACTGTACCTAGTGCTTGTATAAATAATAAATAAATCTTAAAAAAAAAAAAAAAAAGAATAGATCCAACACCAAAGCAAGCTCAAACAGCAACACAATGGACATGCATCTTCTCTTAAAATGGAACCAAAAGAACATTTCTACCCAAAATTCAAGGTAATCTTTAAAAAATGGCAAGACATAGGTCAGAGACCTCTTAGGGAAACCGGGAACCAAGGAAGAATGTTTTTCATAAAGCCAGTTCATGTCCACTATGAAGGAGACCACATTCACATGAGGCTGATGACAAAGCCTGGCGAGGTGGGGAGGGATCTAGCACCAGAGCCCAGGCCTCTTTCCCTGAACATGTACTGTAAGTGGGAAAGCTCACTCACAGCCTAGGAGCCTCCTGGGGGGCTGCATCCACCAGGCCTCCCTGCACTGGGCACAGGCTCCTTTTTACTCCTTTCTCATTACTGTGGGGTCTGTCTGCACTGCCTCAACCAGGGTGCCAGGATCACCAGGAGAGCTCTGCAGCTTTAAAGGCTCACCCTGACCCATGGAATTACAACTCAGGGTGAAATGGGGAGGGGGCATGTTGTACAGATACACAACTGTACAAAACAGAAATGACCATGGCTCAGGTTTGGGGAAACTCAGGCCCAAGGAGACACCAGACAGCTGACTCCCACAACTCCCAATGTGTTGGGATTAAGTCCTAGTCCTAGTTCTCCAACAGACCCACCTTCTGTTCATTACACATACCAACCGGAAGGGAAGAAGCATTTAAATGACTCTGCACCCAGGTCCCTCCCTACCTTCACCAGTGACTTGCTTTCTCAGGGAAGGGGGAGGTTGTTCACAGTATCACAACCATTGTTGACAGTGCTTTCGACCAGACCAAAAGCAGAATATGAAAGGTATGGGCCCAGAGTCAGACCACAGGGTTCTGGTCTCAGTGGCACCACTTCTCAGCTCAGGGAAGATCACAGACCCATGTCTCCAAGGACCAGATTAACTCAAAAAACTGAGTATCAGAGAACTAGGAGGGGAAGATAAACTCTCAAAATGCTTACCTGCAGTGGTCAAAAGGTAAACGACGAAAATTTGTTTGTGGGAGGTCTGTTTAAGATGAAATTAAAAAACAGAAAACTTAGTGAGAAATTTCTGTTATGTGTTCCTACCAACAATTAATTTACATTTTAAGAAAAAGCTTAATAAATTACATAGTGCAGCAATCACTGTAGATTAAAACTTTTCAACAGACAGAACCAAACACATGGGGTTCAAAGAAGAACTTAAGAGGAAAAAGTGCATACTCACTTCAGTCACTGTAGTCAGGTCTCTGTCAGAACCCTAGCCCTGTTGTGAGGCTTTGCTTTGCTCTCCAAAAAGGCTGTGCCAGCTTTACTTCCTTTAGCAATTATAGTAGTGTTTACTAAAGCATTGAGAGCTTTGGGTCTTATCATTCTCTCTACTCTTTATTAACTTGCTGGGGAAAGTATGCTATTTTAACCTACACTGAAATAAATCACCAAGATTAAACGTTTTCTCTTATATTTCATGTATTTCTCTTTCAGGAACTGTCCTCAGCCCATTTGTCTACTGTAGTTTCTGTGTTGTTTATTGTTAATATTTATAGGTTCATTGTATAGAAAAGGCATCATTCTTTAGTTATCCCCCCCCCACACACACACACACAAACCAGGGTGAACAGAAGGATTTCAAGCCCTACCTGGTTTCTTGCCACCATAAAAGTGAGTGTATTCAGCACAAGTAATGTACCTGAAAAAGAGAAAAAGTGTGACAACCACTCCCTTTATAAAGTCTCTGGAAGTACTAAGTAGTGAAACGATGACTAAATCATTTTGCTCATTCAACAAGTTCTTAGTAAATACTACTCTACATCAGGCACATAATGATAAACACAACAGAACATGGGGACATAGAAACGAGTTAGCAAATACAAACAGTCCTGCTTTGCTCAGAAGGAAATGAATAAAATTATCAGAAGGTCTGATGATCAGCTGGAGCTAGTCTTTTAAAGATCTGCAGGAAGAGTTTTCCAGGCAGAGGGGCCAAAGAAACATATCATGTATAAAAGCCATGAGGCAGGAAAAGTTGGTTTGTTCCCAAAGGGAGAAGTCACTGGAAAAATGTGTGCTCAGGGGCATGTGGCAGCAGATGAGGGAGACATGGGTGGTGGTGAGATCATGATTGGGTCTCAAAGGCCATGTAAGGACTTCTGATTTGCCTAAGTGGGACAGAAAATTATGAGATGACTTTGAGCAGGACTCTGAGATAAAATATTGTAAATCTGCAAAGCATCATTCTGACTGCTGTGTATAGAGGGACAAGGAGAAAACCAATCAGGAGGCAACTACCAAAGTCCAAGAAGGTGTTGGCATAAACTCTGCGTGCAGGGGGGTAAATGGAGGAGGTAAGAAGTTGTCTGCTCCTGTAAGGGAAAGCAGGATTTACTGGTGAAAAAGAAGTGACTGCTGAAAAAGAGATGGCATCTGAGGGAAAGAGGCACCAATGCTAACTCACAGATTTCTGAACTGAGCAAATGAAACAGCTGAGAGACCACTGAGATAGGGAAAAGGGAGAGGCGCAGACTCAAAGGCTGACAGTCAAGTGTTCGTTGGGGATATACTAAAGTTGTCTATGTGACCTCCAAGTGGAGCTGTCAAGTAATCAGTTCACTATTACAAGACTGGAGAAAAATCACCCAGGCAGAATGTAAATCAGAAAGAAAGCTGGATCAGGCACACATACCAAGTCTGGAAAGTGGGCGGAGGATCCAGCAAAGGAGATTGAGAAAACAGAAGTCACAGTTGTAGAAGGAAAACAAAGAACATGTGGTATACCAGATACCAAAGAAGGGCTTCAGAAGTAGAGGAAGTATTCAACTTTTGTGTGCTGTTGAAAAGCCCAACAAAATGAAAACTAACCACTAGATTCAGCAATAGGGAAGCTACTGGAACCCCGACAAGAATGGGGAGTGAAAGGCTGACTGCAGTGGTTTCAAAAGACCACAAAGACTATCCATTCAAGGACATAAGTATCACTGGAAAAAGTAAAAAATAGGGATTTGGGGGTAAAAAAACCAGCAAGTAGACACAGGTCTTGCACATCTTGTAAGGAAGAAAATCTAAGAAATACAGTAACGGTAAACTTGGTTTGCTCTACCCTGGAAGACTCCGTAGAGCGTGTGCACGCTGAGGGGTGTGAAGCAGCACGCGGGGAACGCGAGAGGTTCCCGAAAGAGGCGCCGACTCGGGAGCAGAGCCGGCGAGTAGAAAGGGGGACGGGCCAGAGCAAAAGCCAGTATTTTCTCTCAGGTGGAGAGCCGGCTCAGGCGACGGCAGGTGACGGAGGGGGAGCCGGGCCCCCGGGAAAGCGCGGCTCCCAGGGATGATGACCCCCCCGGGCTGGAGGCGGAGGCCTCCGGAAGGGGGCGACTTTTGGGAGGGGCTCTAGGGACGCGCTCGGCGGGCAGCGGAGGCCGCAGAACAGGCCGGAGACTGAGGCGGGCGGGCAGGGCCCCGCTCACGGCTGCGGCTCAACTTACATCTTATCCTTCTGGTGCTGTCGCTTCCCCATGGTGGCGGCGACGGCGAGACCAGTAAACGCGGAAAAACCCGGAGACAACTCAGAAGTCAGCAGCGTCAGGGCCGAGCATTTTTACTTCCGGTTGCCCCTGACCCAACCGGAAGCGAGCGCTTGGCCTTCCGGGAACTGTAGTCCCCGGAACGCCGCGCCCGCCAGGAAAGCGCCGCCTATGCCGTGGGCAGCTGGGTGGAGCATGCACAGTTGGGCTCGCATCTTCACCGCCGGAACCACCTTTGCTTCCCAGCCACTTGTTTTACTGTGTCTTCTCTCCCGAGCTCTTTACCCACCAAACCCTGGCCCGGTTCCGGTTCCATAGCCGCTCGAACCCATCCTGAGTTCTCAGGGCTCCAAAAAAGCCTGGTCCCATCAGCCTCCGCTCCATCTCGCTCTTGTCCAAGGCATATGCCTCAAAAGCAACATCCACGCACACCGTCTACTAGCTCAGCCCCTTTCTCTCCCCTAATTCTGGGCTTCCCAGAGGCAGATGGCCATCAAAGCTCAAGACCCAAAGCCCTCACTGATCCCTTAGGTTTCTTCTGTCGACCATTTCCGTGACCAGATCACTGCGGTTATTCCATCCTAAGCCAGGGAGCACCATCCACCTTCACAGGGTGATCTTGCCCAAGCTCCTGCCTGGCTTTATTATTATTATTATTATTATTATTATTATTTGTGGGACCCTCGCCGGCGGCCGGGGAACGAACCTGCGCTGCAGAGGCTGCGGGCAGCCTCACAGCCCAGCGCTCAACCGCTGCGCCACCATGGGAGGCCCTTGCTTAGCTTTAAATACCACTTGTATCCCTTGATTCCCAACACTAAATCACCAGCACTCCAGACTACTGACCTCTACTTGGCTACCAGGGAGGGATATCCTTCTCCCCTCCCACCAAATTCTCCACTCCACCGAAAAATACAGCTATCCAACGAGCCACCCAACGCCAGTTGTCCTTTCTCATCCCATGGTTGGCTCCTTCACATTTTTTCAGGTTTCAGTATCACAATCTCTGAGACCCACCCATATATCTCCGTCTCCCACAGAGCTTATCACAATTTTGTAATCCTGTATTAATTTGATCTATATACTGGTTTGCAGCACCCTCACCTAAACCTATTGAAGGATGGGATGCAAGCTCCTTAAGGGCGGGGTCCCCCAACTTCTTGGTTATCTCCAGCCCCAAACAAAGTGCAGGTCATATAGAAGGGCTCAATGAGGGCCTCCCTAGGGGTTAAGTCTCAGCGCTATCACTGTGACAGCCTGAGTTCGATCCCCAGCCAGGAAGCTAATCCGCATGGTGCAGCCCACCCTCCTATCTCACCCACTTCTCCCCTTAGCAGTGTATTTCAGACAATATGCCTGTTCTGCTCCCCACTCTGTCTCAGGTGAATCCTCTCACCCCCTGCCCCTGCCCCTCTGGCCTGGCCTACACCCAGTTCTTCTATGCATAAATAAATCTTTTCTCTCTCCCCAGCTCTTTAAGAATGGCTCAATGAATAGCTACTAATGTCCCACAGTCGTCAAGCACTTTTGAGGACTCACATCTCACATGCAGGTGACAATAAGACCAGAAGGTGACAATAAGAGTCACATATTTGAAATTCCTCTTGGAGATGCCAGGTTGAAAACTGATACATCAGCTCATTTTTCTCCAGGGAGGGGATCACTGTTTCCAAACCTGGGCTCCCACTAAGACCTGTGTTTAAGGGCCAGATGTAGGGAAAAATGGTAGACTTCAATTCAGTGGGATCAAGTGAGGCCCAAAAGAGCCATGAAGTCACTGAAAGTAAGGCCAATACCCGTTCCTCACTCAATTCAGAGTGCATATGGCTGAAATCCCATGTCAGAGTGCAAGCGAGAAGACTTCTCAATAGTGCTGACCTGACCACCTACTGTATGCAAGCTCAGACTTGTACTAATATGACAGCTCCTTTGTGCTGGAGGGATAACAGGCCCTAGGGAGCCCCAACACAAGGAAGGCACCTCCACAGGAACTTTATTAATTCCTCCGGCCATGGTCTGTAGGGAGGAGGTTACAGGCTCCTCTTGGGGGGCACGGACTCTGCGCTGCCAGGATCATTCTCTGAGTCATCTTTGGGTCTGGGCACAGGCTGGAACTTGAGCAGGACAGGTGGAGTAAAGATGGAGGCCTTCACAGAAGGTGATGGCACCTCCTCGATGTTGGGGGAGCCCCTACAGGCTGAGGACCTATGCAGGAAACAATCAAGACATGTCCATGAGGTGGGTCACCAGCACACAGGGCCACATGGTACACATGAGGTACACATGACAAAACCCCAAGCTGTGGGATGACTCTTCATTCATTTCTACTTCCAGAAACATCTCCCATGAATATCTGTTTAAGGCTGTTAATTGCAGCAATGTTTGTGACTGTGAAAACCTGTAAACAATATAAGCATCCATCAGAGACTTGTTAGAGGAACCACCCAGCCATGCAGTGGGCTATTCTGCGGTTGTTTAAAGGATAGAGCTAGGTGAAGACACCCCAAATGTACAGTAATGGAATAATCACGTTGCTGAGAAGTACATGCAATATGATCATAGTTCGGTTAAAAAATTAAGCAGGGGCCTCCCTGGTGGCACAAGGGGTCAAGATGCAACCTATGAAGCTATCCGCAGACCCTGCAGCACGAGTTCGATCACAGGCCAGGGAGCTACCCACATAGCACAGCAGACCTCTCTTGACTGCCCCTCGGCAGTGTTTCAGTCAATTTGCCTGTTCTGTTCCCCACTCTGTCTCTGGTGAATCCTTTCACTACCCCCTACACCTCTGACCTGTACCCCAGTTCTTATATGCATAAATAAATAAATCTTTTAAAAAAATTAAGCAGTGTATTTGTGTGTCCAGGTGTTTATGTTTAAGTAGAAACAAAGGCTACACATGAAATTTGAAATTTGAAAGGCTACACATGAAATTCTTAGCTGCAGGACTTTGAGCAGCAGGGTCTCTTAGAGTTTATATATCCATTTCTGTATTGTGAACTTTCCCCATATGATAGTTTATGCTTTTGTAAACACCTGTGCTGAGAGACAAGGGCTAAAAGGGCAGCATCACTCTGAGGCGAGACTATGACTCCAAGACTACTAGTAAAAGATGACTAGAAGTAGGAGACAGAGAGGGAGAACACCAGAGAGAGGGTGGGGTGGGAGGGAGGAAATTCACAGGGGCTGGGTGCTCCCTTGCCTCCTGAGCCTCCTGCCCAACCCATCGCCAGTCTGCCTTTCCTGCCTTCCTAGCCTCCCTGCTGTCCTCCCTGTGCCTGCTTGCCATCACAAGATAGTCAAAACACCTGTCAAACTCCCACCTCAGGGCTAAAACCAAAATAAAGAAACACTTGAACAAACTAGAGATCAAGCAAATATCCCAGCATAAGACTTTGCACTGAAAAAGAAAAGAGAACAACTCCCAGGTTATAACTCCATATCAACTACAATCCAGGAACAGTGGTGTATATAATGCTTAAAAATAGCCTAGAGTGGGCCTCCCTGGTGGTGCAATTGGTTAAGCACTGCACTAAGAAGCAATCCGCAACCTCTGCAGCACGAGTTCGATCCCCTGCCGGCCAGGGAGCAAACCACATGGCGAGGCAGACCTCTCCTGACTCGTGTGCTGCTCCCCTCAGCAGTGTACTTAGATCAATCTGCTTGTTCTGTTCCCCACTCTGTCTCTGGTGAGTCCTCTCAATCCCCGCATCTCTGGCCTGTACCCCAGGTCTATGCATAAATAAATAAATCTTTAAAAAAAAAAAAAAGTCTAGAGTGGGGCCTCCCTGGTGGCACAACAGGTTGAGCACAGCGCTGTGAAGCTGTCCGCAGCCTCTGCAGCATGGGTTCAATTCCTGGCTGGCCAGGGAGATACCCACATGGTGTGGCAGACCTCTCTTGTCGCACCTGCTGCTCCCCTTAGCAGTGCTTTCAGTCTGTCTGCCTGTACTGATCCCCGCTGTGTCTCTGATGAATCCTCTCGCCCTCCCATGCCTCTGGCCTGTATCCCAGATATTGTATAAATAAATAAATAATCTTAAAAAAAAATAGCCTAGAAAAAAAAGTGGACACTAGACTATAAGAGATATTAAGATTGAGGATCTGGCCTAAGAGGAGGGGATCACTTTGAATCCCCACCACACAATATTGGCACCCACAGTACAATAGAAAGAGTGAATTCCTGAGCTTACTAGAGGTGATTATGGGGCAAGCAGGCAGGCCAGATGGCAGGGGGCGGGGGGGGGGGGGGGACAGGAAGGGAGGCAAAGGGGGCCAAGAGGCTGGCAGCCAGCAACCAAGCTTCCCTTTCCCCACATCTCCATGATCTCTCTCTCTTCTCTCTGGCATTCTCAGTCTCCCTCTCGTTTCTTGTCTTGCCTCTCCTTGGAGTGATGCCATCAATACCAGAGCTGAGGAACCCTTTCACTCCTCACGTTTTGGTCCAGGCCTCTGTGTTTACATATAGGGACACCCAGTGCTCTCTGGGCCCGGGTGCCTATAATTGTAGGTACAAGGCCCCATATTCATGCACCCACACACCTTTTTGTACCAATACAATGTCACATGTGGGCAATGAAACCTGGGAGAAAAGCAATGCTACAGGTGGCAGCTGTAGAGGTTAGTGGTGGGAGGCAATAAAAGCTTGAATAAGGGCCTCCCTGGTGACGCAAGGGTTAAGACGCAAACTGTGAAGCTGTCCGCAGCTTCTGCAGCCTGAGTTCGATTCCCGGCCAGCCAGGGAGCAACCCACATGGCGCAGCAGACCTCTCCTGACTCGCCCACCGCTCCCCTCAGCAGAGAACTTTGGTCAATCTGCCTGTTCTGGTCTCCACTCTGTCTCTGCTGAATCCTCTCACCCCCCCACACCTCTGGCCTATACCCTAGCTCTTGTTTGCATAAATAAATCTTTTAAAAAAAGAACGCTTTATTCACTCCATTTTCCTATAGTGATCCTTTGATACCCTACTACTCTGTTCATCTTTTACACCTACATCCCCACCCATACCAGTTCTCAGATCACTTTAACTGGTGCAAAGACAAGAGTGTGGAAATCCTATCTATTACAACCCATAAACATTTAAAATGAGAAGACAGAACACAACTGTAGGGTAAATGTTTATCAGGCTTTTCTGCCCTCCCGCCATTAGGATTGATGATGGTTGTACATGCATGCCTGATGGCGGGCACCTGGAGTGGGGTGTGGGCATACGTAGGTAGGTACACCTGGGCTGAGATTGGGCTTATAAGGATGGCGTCATGGGAAACCAGCAGGGAAGGAGAATAGAAAAAGAAGCAGAAAAGAGAGAATGAGACCATGAAGGAACACCGGAGAGCCCAGAAAGAGTGGCCTGGTGTGGTATGGGCACAGCCATGCCTTGCAAAGGTCAAACCCATAGTAGTGAGGTCCTGAAAGCAACTGGGAAACAGACTAACAAAACAAATGACCTCAGTAATTCTAAGGGGAATATTACACCACAGAAAGGGAACAAATCTCCAAAACTCAATCACAAGGCATGGAAGACCTTTTCCTCCTCAAACACATAATTTAAGCTTCCCATAAAGAAATCCGAGAAGGGCCTCCCCAGTGGCACAGAGGTTGAGCGCTGGGCTGTGAAGCTGCCTGCAGCTTCTGCAGCGCCGGTGCAATCCTGGCCACCAGCGAGGGTCCCACATAGCACGCAGATCTCTCCTGCCGCACCCGCTGCTCCCCTCAGCAGTGTATTTCGTCGGTCTGCCTGTTCTGTTCCCTGCTCTGGCTCTGGTGAATTCTCTCACCCTCCCGTACTTCTGACTGTACCCAGTGCTTGTATGTATAAATAAATAAATAAATAAATAAATCTTTAAAAAAAAAAAAGAAAGAAAAGAAATCTGAGAAGACTCAGAAAAACAAATCAAGGATATTCAGGAAAATATATAAAAGCAAATTAATGTCCTGAGAAGATAAAAAATAATACTCCAAAGAAGGAAACAGAGGAGCTTCTGGAAGAAAAAGATTAAAAGAGGAGATGAAAAATACTATAAAGTTGTGCTGCTTCGGCAGCACATATACTAAAATTGGAACAATACAGAGAAGATTAGCATGGCCCCTGCACAAGGATGACACGCAAATTCATGAAGCGTTCTGTAGGGTAAGGAAAAATGTCAGGCTTTTCTGCCCTCCCACAATCAGGATAGATGATGGATCCTCGCGGTCCTGAATGCATGTCTGATGGCGGGCACCTGGAATAGGGTGTGGGCATAGGTAGATGGGATTCACCTGGGCTAAGACTGTGCTTTTTTAAGGGCGGCGTCAGGGGGACGCCAGTAGAAGCCAAAAGAGAAGCCGAAAGAGAAGCAAGAGAAGCTGAAGCTGAGAGAAGGCCGGAGAGCCCAGAGTGAAGACCTGCTGGGGGCTTGGAGGCTGGCAGGCCCCCAGCCCCCCAGCCTGCCTTGTACCTGGTAATCTAAATAAGAAGACCTGCAAAAAGCCACTAAGGGGCCTTCCCGGTGGCGCAGCGGTTGAGTGCTGGGTTGCGAAGCTGCCCGCAGCCTCTGTAGCACCAGTTCGATCCCTGGCCACCGGGCGAGGGTCCCACATGGCGCGGCAGACCTCTCCTGTCTCGCCTGCTGCTCCCTCAGCAGTGTCTTTCAGTCAGTCGGCCTGTTCTGTTCCCCGCTCTGTCACTGGTGAATCCTCTCACTGTCCCGCACATCTGGCCTATACCCCAGTTCTTGTATAAATAAATAAATCTTTAAAAAAAAATGTCCGTCATCACTTTTAATAAAAGAGATGCAAGTTAAAAACACGACATACTGCTTTACACCCATGAGAATGGCACCTATTACAAAGGCCTTTAACAAGTGTTGGAAAGGATTTGGAGGAAAAGGAACCCTATTACACTATTAGTAGGAATGTAAACTGGTACAACCATATTGAAAGCAATCTGGATTTAGCTTATAAAACTAAAAATGTAAATACCATATGACCCAGGATTCCTATCCTTGGGCATATATCTAAAGACTATGAAGCAATCAACACAAAAACTCACATGTGCCAAACTGTTCACAGCAGCATTATTTACAATAGCTAGGACATGGAAGCAGGCTAAATGTCCAACAGATGACAGGTTCAAGATGGTATATCCACACCATGGAGTATTGTATAGCCATAAGAAAGGATGAAACACGGTCATATTCAACAAAATGGAGGGAACTTGAGAGAA